CACATCCCGCATTTCTCCACAGCGCTGGGACCATGGATGCTGCCTCCCGGGGGGATGAATGGGAGGGGGTGCCTGGGGCTGGTGGTTGCAGGACTGGCAGGGCTGCGGGTGGCAGGCAGGAGCTCTGGACAGCAGTGGTCCCGGGAGGGACTTGGCCCTGAGTGAGTCGTTGCGCTCGGCCCTGGGCTCGGTGTTGCCTGGCCCCGTGTCAGTGTCATGCGTGGGGGACAGAGTGACGGAGATCCCGGGGACCTCGGAGCAGTGCGGCAGCGAAGGCTGCAGCCGGCCGTGGTGCCGGTGCGGTGCGGGAACCCTCGGGCCAGCTGGACGGCCTCTGCTCGTCCGTGAGCCGCCGCCGTGCTCCGGGGCCGCTCTTTGGGAAGGCACTGCCCGGGAGCGGCCCCAGGCGGGTGGTGCTGAGGAGGGACCTCAGCTCCCGGCAGCGGCGGCGGCGGCGGCAAAGGACCGGCCGGTGGCGGGCGGGGCGGGGTACGGACAAGGCGCCGCCGCGGGGGCCGCGGGGCCGGGCGCGGGTCACTGCAGGAGAACGGCCTGATCCAGGGCTTGGCCCGGGAGGCGGGATCCGTGCGGACGGGGGCGGGGGCGGACAGGGCTGCGCGGGGTCTTGGCGAGGTCTGTGCGGGTCCGTGCGGGTCCGTGCGGGTCCGTGCGGGCGGGGGCGCACAGGGCTGCGCGGCGCCGCCAGGGGGCGATAACGGGCCGGGTGGGCTCCGGTGGGGGTGTGCCCTCCCGGCCCCGCCCCGGGGCTCGCCGGTGCCGCCGTCCCGCGGGGACCCGGTCCCACCGCCGGCGCAGCGCGGGCCGGGCCCCGCGGGACCGCGGATCGATGTGCTCCACCTGGGACCCGCCCTGGGGCTGGCACTGCACCGGGGGCTGCGCGTGGGGGCTGCCCCCGTGCCCGGTGCGCTGCCCGTGGGGCAGCCGCCCTGGCCCGGGAGGGCACCGAAACATCCATCACCACCGCGCAGCCCCTCCGTGTCCCGGGCAGTCGGGCTCGGCGGCAGTAGCCATGGGAACCAACCGGTTAAGGAGCCTCTCGTTGCCATGGAAACCGGTCCCGGTGTCACCCTTGCCGTGGCTCTCGGTGCTGAGGGGGATCAGCAGCTCTCTCGCCCCCCTGGGGTCACGGGGCTGTGGGCCATAAGCCATGGAACGGGTTCTGTGGGGCAGTCGTGTGAGGCTGGCCCCGGGTGGGAGGGGAGGCCCTGAGGGGGCTTGGGTAGAGTAGGGACCCCACCAGCCCCGGCTGCACCCCCCTGCAGGGCCCCTGCCGAGAGGGGCCGGGGCACAAGGGAGGGGCAGGGTCCCCGCCTGGGGCACCGTGCACAGAGGGTACATGTGAGGGACGGGCTGCTGAGGAGGCTCCCCCAGCCCTCCCATCTCCTCCAGCCCCCTCGCAGACACTCAGGTCAGGTTTGTCGCAGACTGGGTGCCCTTGGGGTATCTTTAGATGAGCCAAGGGTGTGCAGCAGCTAGAGGCCCATGATGTGGGGGGGTGGGATGCTGCCAGGGGGCTGGAGCAGCCAAAGCCCCATTGCTGCCTGCAGTAGCTTTCCCAAAGAGTCTCCATGCCACTGAACACACCGCAGGTGCTTCAGTGGGGTGCCAAGAGTGGAGGTCCTTGCACGGGCTGTGGGGCTGAGGGAGGGCTGCCGTGTGGGACACAGGACACTTGAGTGCCTCATCAGCTGATCCTGCACCCAAACCCTTCTGGCAGCAGCTGGCAAGTGGCCATGCAGCTGTTCCTCGGCCATCACTGGGCCCTCTGGCCCCGGCTCAGCAGTGACTGCCTGGAATCCCCAGGGCACTGCAACTGGCACAGGGCTGCCTGGGGGCTCCTCCAGGAGCAGCGCCTGGTGGGAGGAGGCTGCCTCTGCTGCTAATCCCTGTGCCAGGCTGCCCAGCCGCCCACTGCCATGGCCCTGCTGCTGGCAAGACATCTGGGCAAGGGCAGCTGGGGACGCTGCGCCAGCTGCACACTGTGCTGGGCTCGCGTGACGCAGGAGCTCACAGCCCTGCCCCATGGCTCTGCCAGCCCTGCCCCACTGCTGCCCTTCTGCTCTCAGCCTCAGGCAGCTGCAGTGGCTCCCATGGCTCCCCACCCAGCCCCACGGGATGCTGTACCTCCCTCCACATTCTGTCCTGCTGCTCCAGCTGGCGTCAAGTCCCAGCTGGTGCCCGTGTCAGCTCTGGGTTCTGCTTTTGCCCCATGCTGGTGGCAGGGCCCTGACCTGTCTGGATGGAGATGAACAAGAGCACTGCATCCTGCCAAGGTGCTGCGGGATGTGTTGCCCCTGGGCTCATGGGGCTGTCAGGACAGCGTGGTGAGGGCACACAGTGATGCAAAACCCCTGCTACGACATTTGGCTGGCATCACTGCCCTTCTGTCCTGCTGCACCTCCATCGTTTTGCGGTCTCTCCTGCCCCAGCTCTTCTTTTTCCTGGGAGCTGCTTGTCCTCATGCCCCAAGCCCTCAGTGTGTGGGGTGTCCCATCTTGGCAGGATGTGGATGGGCAGGCTGTTGACAGTGCCCAGGGATCACAGCAGGCAGTGCAATGTGCTGACCAGCATCTCCTCAGCACAGCCGCCCTCACTGCCCGGGTGGCACACTGCCAGGCTGCCCGCTCCCTGCCCTCAGGAGGTTTCCCAGTGACTCCAGCACGTGTCTCGCTCCTGGGAGGTTTGACCGCTGCTGGTAATAGGACAGGCAAGGGCTGTGTGGCCGGCGGCCAGGATTCTGGCCCTGGGAACGTCTGTGAGAACCATTCCCCCCACCCAGGCTCTGTGCAGAGGGGTCTGGGACGTTCTCAGGAGTCTCTGCAGGGGTACAGGACATTTTGCAGGGATGCTTCTTGGCTTGGCCACTCTCCGTCGTCATTCCTGGGCAGCCTCTTGCAGTAAAGTGGGGCACTGATGCTCTGCCTGGCCTGGTGCCAGCATCCTGCCTGCTACTCGGACTCAGGGGCCGCTTGCAGTTGATCCCCCACTCCATGGCCAGGGAAAAGTATCGGTCTTCCTCTTTCCTTATGCCCTTATGCTGCCTGCAGCATGACTGCAGGCAATGCCAGGGCATGGATGATGCCCAAACTGTGCCAGACCTCTCTCCTTTCGACACACTGCACCAGATACCCCAGTCATGGGCATTTTGGCTGGGTTTAAGGCCAGTGCTCAGCTGGGGGATCAAGCCCCCTCAGTCTCCTCTGCCTCAGAGACACTCTCAGTTTGTCCCCACATGCTGATGGGACCCGGTGCACAGGATAAGCCAATGCAGTCTTGATAGCGCAGCCCCCTGTGCTGCCGTCAAATCCCAACCCCTGAAATGGAGCCATAATCCAGGGATTAGGGGATTAATGGTCTTTCACGTGCTCCCTCCCCCGCATCTGTTTTAGTAGGAAAATCCCTCTTGTGCCGAGCCCACGCGCTGTGGCCTCCTGCAAAAAACCACCCTCTGGTGCTTGGCACTCACCATGGCTGGCTGGACCCTGGCCTGCTGCCCTCCTGGCCAGCCACAGGCTCCTTAGGGGGCGTTGGGGGTGCCCTCTGACTCCCCAGGCCATCATGGGACGGTGGTTTTGTCCACTACATCCTGTCTGCAACCCCTTCCTTCCAGTCCCAGCCCTTGGGAGTGGGCCAGCCCCTTGCTCCAGCGCTGGCTGCTGCTCAGGGCTGAGGGATGCAGGAGTGAGGGGTTGCTGCTGCTGCAGCTGGACCGGGGCAGCCCCGTGTGATGACTGCCACACGGTGTCCTGGGTAGGGGGTGCCCACGCTGAGTTGCCCACCCTGAACTGCCCATCTTCCCTGCAGCCCTCCTGTGCCACCGGCCATGGAGCTGGGGCTGTGCTGCTGCAGCTCTCCAGGGATGCCAGGTCCCGGGCTGCAGCCACAGGGCAGGGATCAGTGCTGCCTGCCGGGCTGGGGTGAGGGGTCTGAGCCTCTCCCTGGCCGCGAGGTCAGGCTGGGGAGCAGCCGCGCTGCGGAGCAGCTGGCTCCGCACCAGGAGAAAGTAAACAATTAATTACAGCCGTCAAGAAGTAACGGAGGCCAGCGGGCTGTCATGATCTCAGACTGTGCTGGAGGAGATGCCGGGAGCTGCAGCCAGCTCCGGTTGGGGGATCCTCCTGGATTAAGTGCATGAGAGAACAGGGGGCTTCAAGCAGCCCTGCAGGGTCCCTCTACAACCCCAGCTCAAGAGTGGCCCGTGCCCCGGCCCTGTGAGTGACATCTGCAAGAGCTGGGGCCCCCATAGATGGCACAGGGCCTGGAGATTTGGCCCCATTGCATCCCTTCACCAGGTCTGAGAAGGTTGTTATGGGTGTGATCTCGGTCCCCTGGTCACCAGGGGAGGTGACATCAAGCTTGATCCCCTGTGCAGGCAGCATTCCCTGTGCTGCAGGTCAGCTGGGCAGAGCGGGGTCAATCACCTCTGTAATCCCCCCAGCCCCACTGTGGGGTGGTCTGGACGTCCCCCCCTCCCCGGGTGCCCTGGGTCGTCCTGCTGCTGGGGCAGGAGTCTCCATCCGTGGCCAAGGCCCTGATGCCCGCAGAGGGGTCCCCTGCATGACGTGGTGCTGCCCACCCGGGAGCCGCCCCCACCCGGGAGCCGCCGGTCGCGGGGCAATGGCCTCGCAGGCAGGGGCTGCCCTGATCCCGGGCCTCGGCTGCCTCTGATGCGTCCGTCCCGCGGGCAGAGGTTCTGCCCCTCTGTGCACCCCGAGTGTGTTCCAGCTCCCGAGGCTGCGTCGGGGTCCGGTGCGGGGGCTGGCGGCGGATGCGGGGCCGGTGCGGGGTGCGGGGGCTGGAGGCGGGGTTCGGGGCCGGGGCGGGTGCGGGGTCGGTGCGGTTGCGGGGCCGTCCCGTCTCGTCCCGCCCGCACCAGGCGGGCCCGCAGCGCTGCCCTAGTTCCCCCCCACGCCTGGCGCAGCCGGGAGGCGGCCCCGCTCTGCTCGCTCCTCTTTGTGCCCCCCCCGCGCCGCCGAGCCCCCCCCTCCCCGCCGCGGCGGGGGCAATGCCTCCCGCATACGTGATGAAGCGGGCGGCCGGGCTGGGCTCCGCCGGCAGCAGCCGTGAGCCGTGAGCCCGGGCGCCTCCGCACTGCAGCCCCCTCCCACCGGCGCGGGGGGCGGCGCGGGGACGCGGCTGCTGCGGAGCGAGAGCTCCAGCTCCGGCGGCAGCGAGCGGCCGCGGCACCGGCGCCATGCTGAACAACCTGACCGACTGCGAGGACGGCGACGGCGGCGCCAGCCAAGGTGAGGCACCGGCATCGGCACCGACGAGCGGGACAGCCCGGGGCGGCCGCCCCCGCCGGGCCGGGGGCCGGCGCCGGCGCGGGGCAGAAGCGGCGCGGAGCCGGGGGCAGCGGGGCGGAGGGTGCCGTGCCGCGGAGCCGCGGGGCAAGCGGGAGGCACCGACACCGGCCGCGACGGCGGCTCTCGGCCGGCGGCCCCGCGGGGCTGCGGCGGGCGGTGCGGGGATGCTCCCGCTCCCGGCGCCTCCGCGCAGCCCCGGCCGCACTCCCGCCGCTGCGGCAGCCCCGGGAAGCGGCGGTGCGGCCGAGCCGTGCGGGGCTCACCGAGGAGCCTCCTCCGGGGCGGGGGCTGCTCGCTGTGCTCCGAGCGACCCTGTGGGGCTGGCCCCGCCGCTTCCCGGACAGCCCTTGCCGGTCGCCGCACCAGTCCCGTTCCCGCCTGCCCGGGATCCCCGCAAAGGTCCCCGCACCCAACTGCCGGCCCCCCACCCCTACCTCCCGCATCTCCGCTGCAGCCTCCCCAGCCCTCCCTGCTGCCGCCCCCCATCTCCGGCTGCCGCCCCCCCATCTCTCTATATCGCCTCTCTCACCCCCGCTGCCCTCCCCCCCATTCCTCTCCTCTGCCGCCCCCCATCTCCGGCAGCCGCCTCCCCATCCCGGGCAGCCGCCCCCCGCTCCCTTCTCCGCTCCCGCCCCCCACTCCCTGCCCTCCCCCGTCCCCCTCCCGCAGGGGCCGCCGCTGTCCGCGGTGCTGAAGTGGCCGCCCGGGCCCGGCTCGTCCCGGGGCCGAGCCCAGCGAGGCGCAGCGAGCCCAGCTGAGCCAAAGTGAGCCCTGTCGAGCCGGTCCGGTCCGCGCCGTGCCCCGTCCCGCTGCAGCCCTGGCGCAGGGCCGCTGTCCTCCCCGGCTCGGGGCCGCTCGGCCCCGCATAGCCCCGCCACTGCCGCTGCTTCGGCCTCAGCCCCTCCCGGCACCCGGCACTACCGAGCTGTGTGAGGGTCCCCGTTCCTCACGGAGCCACGTCCAGCACCAGGCAGCCAGACGGCACAGGCCCCGTTCTTGCGGGTGTTCCTGCCGGGCACAGGGGTGGGCTGCAGCCAGGGGGATGCAGTGTGTGCACAGGAGGACTTGCACTGCCCCTCTGACCCGCCCAGACACCGCCAAGTCTCTTCTCCAGGTGCCCTCGTGGGGTCTGCCAAAGCCCCAGCCGGGAGCACACGGCTGGCTATGGCACTGGTTGTGGGGGTCCTGGCTGCCCACAGTGGGGCCCTGGGCACAGCCACAGACAAGCTCTATGTATTCCTCTGTTCTGCCGACCCTGGTCTGTTTATTTGCATGTTTATTTGCGGCTCTGCTCAAGGTCAGGACTGGCAGGAGACTTTTGGGGGCACCTTGCAGGGCTGAGGTTGGCGCACTGGCCCCCAGCCGTGCCCTTCCCTGGGCGCTTGCCCTCCCCTTGCCCTCTGCAGCACCAGGATCTCTCCCACTCACTGATTTCCATCACGGCAGTGCCAGCGGCGTGGCAGCAGGCTGTGCAGCCATGCTGGGGTCTGGCAGGAGGGCTGGACACAGTGCCACTACAGATGGACCAGGCAGACTGTCCCTGGAGCTGAGCCTGGCGAGATGGTGCCCTGTGGGACAGCAGGTGAAGGGCTGGAGGAATCAGGGGTCTGGGGGACTTGGGGGAGCAGGGATTGTCTGTAGGAAGGGACTCAGCAGAGCTCCCCACACCTGTGACAAGCGTGGTTGCAGCGGGGGGGTGGGTTGTCCTCCCATGCCAAGGGTCAGTGGAACTCCCGTTATGAGGTCTGTCTGCAGGGACCATGGAAAACTCGTTGGGTAGCAAAGCTGTTGAATGCCAGTGGGCCCCCTCCACATGTCCTGGCTGCTCCAGTGCCGGCTGTCCAGCAACTTGCCAAGCCCAGCACAACCACTAAAGCCCTGGGTGCCACTTAGGCCTTATTTGTCAGAAAGGGCAGCAGCATCCCTGCTCAGGTCATGCTCTGGGCAGCATGCACGAGCTGCATGACAGTGGCTGGAAGGGCTCCAGCACCAGCAACCCAACAAGGGCTGGACCAGCGCAGACCCTCTGGGTAGATGGTGGGAGCGGGCAGCAGGCAGGGCTGCTGCCTGCAGTGGCCGGGCTGGCACCTCGCACTGCTCTGGTTGGGGTGTTGGCATGTCAGCCGCAGCCCCACTGCAGGGTGCCGTGCTGACACCCAGCCCGGGGACACTGGGGAGCCCGGAGAGCTCAGATCCAGGACCAGGAGCTTTGATGGAGCTTGTGTCCACGGCCATTTCCGAGGCAGGGCTTGGACTGTCAGAGAATCAGGGAAGCTGTTTAAATGCAGCCAGCCAAAACGCCTGTGCTGGAAATCCTGCGCTGCAGGGCCGGCTGATCAAAGGGAGGATAATCCTGGGTTTAGGAAGGAAGAGGATAGGTCTGAAGTAGCAGTTGGTCCAATTTGGGTCAGGCTGTGAAGGAATCCAGCCCAAAAGGCCACTGGGTGTGCTTGCTGGCTGGAGGGGGAAAATGCAGCCCTGGGATGGGGGGAGCATCCTACTCCACCATCCCACCCCTGACCCACACCCCTGCTCCCCTGACGTGCTGCAGCTGGAGCTGGCTCTACTGTGACACTGCCAGCACGAGCCAGCGCTGCTCTGATCATCAGTGGTCTCTGCCTCAGTGGGGCTGTGAGGGCTGTGTGGCCTCTCCAAGGGTCGCCCTCCCCAGAGCAGCTGTCAGACACTCCTGTGCAGGGTAGGAGGAAGCTGGGTGGGCGCAGAGATGCCACTGCTGTAAGAATACCTTGGCCATCCCCATCTGCCCTAGACACCCCAGGCCAACTGCCCAGGGCCGGGCAGTGTGTGTACAGCCAAGTCCCCTTGATAGCCGGAGGTGACAGAACAGCAGCGTGGCCTCCCTGGCCAGCAGCTCCTGCAAAACGGCAGCAGCTGGGGACATCAGCCAGGGCCACGTGCTCGCCCATGTGCTCGCTGGCATGCTGGGGTCACCCTGGGGTGCCCCTTGCTGCAGGCAGAGCCCCGGGAGTCCAGGTGTCCTGTGGCGACAGTCAAGGTGTCCTGTGTACCTCCAGGGGAGTGCCAGGGCATCCCTAGTGCCCTGAGCAGCCATCGCACTGCTGCTGCCCCTGGGGCTGAGGGGATTGGAGTGGGGGTGGCATGGGGGATTCCGGAGCTGTCAGCAGCCCTGCGCAGGAGCACAGACGGAGGCGCAGAGGGCTCTGAGGTCGGGGCTTCCTGCCACGGGCCCCCTCACCCACTGCACCTCCCGGCAGTGCCGCAGCCCTCGTGCCCGATGTCCCTGGCTGGGGCTCCCTGTGCTCTGGATGCTGCGGAGGGGACGGGCCGGCCGTGGTCGGGTAGCAACCTTGGCAGCAGCTCTGCTTAATTGGCCCGTGGGGGGTGGCTGCCGGGGCTACCCCAGCCAGTTCTCAGTGCCCTGCGCCGTGTAAAGCGATTAGCGAGGATTTGGAATAAGGAACATGACGCTTCCCAACCCAATTTAGGGCTAAGTAAAAAGCCATTAGAAGATCAAATCGTGGTTGGTGCTGCTGTCTGAGCGCTGCCTCGGGGGGCTCCGAGGGTGCTGTGACGGTCCTTTGGCGCTGCCGCCTTTGCTCTGGGCTGCCCCGGGCAGACAGGTTGGTGAAGCCCTGCTGAGAGTGGGGCTGCGCGGTGCCCACGGCGGGGCTGCGGGTTCCTGCCAGCGATCCCGCTGCCAGCCCTTCCAGCCGCCGCAGCAAATTAAAAGGCCGATTCGTGTTGAGTGATCCCTTGGGAGGGGGGCGGCTGAGCGCCGGGATCGAAGCCTGGCACGGCTCGGCTCGGCTCTGCTCTGCTCTGCTCAGCTCACACTGTCTCTCCTGACTCGGCTGCTGCCTTGGGGCTGCTAGCTCGGTGCTGCGCTCCGGCCCTGCTCTGCTCTGTCCTGGCTGCGCTGGCGGAGCAGGGCAGGGGCAGCCCTGTGGGCGTTGCTGGGACTGGCAGTGTCCCACGTGTCCCCAGGGCCGGGAGGCAGCACCCCGTTTGTGCCGCCGGGCAGGGCTGGCCGTGGCAGCGGCAGGTGAGGGCCGGGGGCATCGCTCCTGCCCGCCCTGGCTGCCCCTGACTCTGCCGGGGAGAGGCTGCACCAGCCCCGCTGCGGCAAAATGGTCTCCGGCAGGAGCAGGAGCAGAAGCGGGAGCGCTTTGTCACCTGGGACCCTGCGCCCTGGTGCTTAACTCCTTCCAGCCTGTGGGGCTGCAGCGGCGTGGGAGACTGAGAGTGCCCCCGAGCCGTGCTGCATCCTCATGCCCAGCAGCCCGGGGCCTCTCCCAGTGCTGCTCCTCGCAGCAGCATCGCCAGCCGAGGGGCTCCTGCGCCACGGGCCAGCCCCGGCAGCCCGGGCGATGCCAGCACGGGCCGTGGCCCCGGCGTGAGGAGAGAGCGCTGGCCAGAGGTGGGGGTGGAGGGACTGCGAGCTGTGGGTGCTGTCGTGGTGCCGTGGGTTGGAGCTTGGGCACCCCGGGGTGCTGCTGGCGCCTGCCGTGTGCAGCCGAGCGGGGCAGTCCCGTGGGGTCGGGGTGGGCTGGGGCCGGGGGTCCGGCCGCGCCGTCCGTGGGGCGCCGGTGGGCCGGGGCGCGGGTGCCGTGCGGGGCCAGCGTCCGGTTCCTGCGCCGTTACATAAGAGCGGGAGCCGAGGCGGCCGTGGCTCGCCGTTGCCGTGGAAACCTGCACGGTGATGTCGTCGGCTGGGTACCAGGCGGTGAGGCGAGGCCCCCGCGGGCTCCGTTCTCCCGGAGGGGTCCCAGAGCCTCGCCACGTTTTGAGCACGTCTCCCTGCCAAGCCGCGCGTGTCCCCCGGTGCCACCCAGCCCCAGGGGGGAGGTGAGCTCTAGCCACCCCTGCTCCTGCACCCTTGTGTCACCACACTGGGGATGGTCACAGCATCAGTCTGGGGGGTGTCCTGTCAGCGTGGTGGCGTTTCACATCAGTGTGGTCCCCAGAGCTGGTGCAGGTGGGCAAGAGCCGTGGTGAGTGGGTGGTTGCCAGCTCACACCATTGCTGTTACCTAATGACAGCGGGGTTCAGTGGGGCTTTAGACCAAACGCAAAGCGAGGAGTGCATGAGGTTCGTGATGAGACCTGTTGTGGGAGATACAGGGCAGGCACATGCCATGGTGCAACCTGAGGTGCTGGGTGTGTCCAAGGGGACTCTGTGGGCCAGGGTGTCCCAGTGCCACTGCCATGGCCACTCCTGCACAAGAGGAGCCTGTGAGCTCTGCCTCAGTGCTTGGCTGTGCCCTTAGGGACACTGCTGCCCCACTGCCCCATGCTGGAGGAGCCCAGGGATGGTGGGAGTTGGGGGCCAGCCCACAGGTCTGTGTCACCTGTAGCATCTGAGGCTTCACCTCCTGGTCAGCCAGGAGCACCCTGTCTGCCAGGGAATTGCAGATGGTGAATCACTGCTGCACGCAGGCTTCCAGGATCCCGAATATGAGTCAACTGGCAGGAGAATGGCGGTCCTCAAAGGGCCAGGATGCTCCAAATGGTCGCAGGGTTTATCTTGTGGCTGCCTCCATGAGTGGGTGACTACACTGCTAGGGCACCATCCTCTGCCCTGGGGCCTTCATGGGCTTCATGCTGAAGGATGTTGGAGGCGGCAGTTCTCTCCCTGGTCCCAAAGTGTGGAGCTGGTCTTTGACCCTGCCCATGTGGGCAACCTGCCCAGCAGTGCGGTGGCCAGTGGCAGTGTGACTGCTCTGGCTGCAGGGCTGTGGTGGTGGGATGGGTGTGTGGCAGGGGACCTCTCTCTCCCCACTGGGGCTGGGGACTAGCCTAGCTGCCCAGGTTTTCCCGTGCCATGGGTGCCTTCTCAGCTGCTCTGCCCAGGGTTGTGTCCTTTGGCTCCTGGCGCCCATACCCTGGTCCCTCTCTGCTCTGGACCTTCTCTTGGAGCTGTGCTGCTCCGGCAGCACCATCCTCACTGCTGCTCCATTTCCATCTTGATTTATTTCTGCTGCTCTGCAGCTCAGCTGTTTTCATCGCTATTAAGCCAACTCCAGGTTTCTTCTGCACTAGGTCATTAATGCAGCGAGTAGCTGTGGCCCCTGTCCTGGTAGATCCACGGGCCTGGATCTGTGAGTGGCTCCACTGCCCCGGGCACTATCTGCCCTCAGTGATATCATCTCTTGCCCTGTGGCCCCCACTGCTGTGGTGCATGTCTGGGAGGAGAACCAGACACCTGGCCAGTCGCCCCACTCCCATTCCCTGCGCGCTGATGCTGAGCAGCCGTGCAGATCCTGCCCTGCAGACGCAGGGCTGGGGGCAGTCCCGGAGCGCTCACCCGCAGGCACCCCGTGCTGTGAGTTATTGCTGCCGTGCCTGGCGCCCGAGGGCTCCCCCGGCTCCACTCCGCTTGCCTCACTGCGTGGATGCGCTCCGGCGGCTCCACGTGTCAGCATGGCCGGGCAGGGCAGCGTGTGGCTCCTGGGGATGGCAGCCCCTGCCCCTGTGTGGTGGGGAGGTGGTGCTGGGGGTGGGATGCTGGCCTGGCATTGCCTGTGCTCTGGCATTGCCACAGCCCTGGCAGCTCTCCTGCAGGAGCCACGGGCAGTCGTGACCGCTCACAGCGGTGACCCTGTGGGGTGGATGTTCTGCGGGTGTGGGTGGGGCAGGGGCTGCCTGACTGACTCAGTGGTGTCTCTGCAGGCGATGGCAATCCCAAGGAGAGCAGCCCCTTCATTAACAGCACGGACCTGGAGAAGGGCAAGGAGTACGATGGCAAGAACATGGCCCTCTTCGAGGTAGGGCATGCAGGCAGTGGGGCAGGGGGAGGGAGCTGAGCTAAGCAGCTGTCCCCCAGCACCCAGCCTGCACCCCAGGCACTGCGATGTGCCAGAGCCCCAGACCAGGCTTGTCGCGCTGCCAAAGCCATTCCTGGGGGGGCAGGCATTGGGGTAGCATCTGGTGAGGTCTCCTGGGGTTGGCTGGGGTCCCAAGGGACTGTCCTCACAACTCGGGATCTGCTCTCCGCAGGAGGAGATGGACACAAGCCCTATGGTCTCGTCCCTGCTGAGTGGACTGGCCAATTACACCAACCTGCCACAGGGCAGCCGGGAGCACGAGGAGGCTGAGAACAATGATGGAGGCAAGAAGAAGCCGGTGCAGGTGAGCCCTTGCCTGTGTAGTGCCAGGCCATAGACTGCTCTAGGAACAGGGGACCCCTCAGCCTCAGCCAGGGCCAGTTTTACCCTGGGTTCCTGGCTGCTTTGTGGGAGGACTGGGACTTCTTGCTTCACTTCCAACCAGGTCCCTGTGCTCTGATAACTGCTGTTCCCTCAACAGGCCCCAAGGATGGGCACCTTCATGGGTGTCTACCTGCCCTGCCTTCAGAACATCTTTGGAGTCATCCTCTTCCTGCGTCTCACCTGGGTGGTGGGGATCGCTGGCATCATGGAGTCATTCTGCATGGTCTTCCTCTGCTGCTCCTGTGTGAGTTTAGGAGCTGTATAAGCCTTCACTGGCCTTGCCCGTGGCCTGGGGTCACCAGTCTGGCTGGCTGCACTATGGAGAGGTGCACCAGCTGCCAGCCCACCATACCCTGCCCCAGCTCTGCTCCTGCCCCAGCTTCTGCCCCTGCCTTAGCTCCTGCCCCACTTAGAGCAAGGAGAAGCCTTCAGCTTCCCAAAGGTATCATCTGTGGAATGGTGCTTAAATGGTGACCCAGATCATAGCTGCCACAGGGGGATGTGCTGGATGTCCCCTGCTCTGGTACCATGCAGAAAGCCACCTCGCCAGGACAGTCACCCCAGGGGAGAGGCTGGGAAGGCTGGCCTCGTCCAGTGTCCTGGGCAACCTGAGCCACCCCAGCGCTGCCAGCCCCCCCAAGGTCTCAGCTCTCTCAGCTGTGCTGCCTGTCCATCCACACATACATCTATCCATTCATCCTCCCTGGGCATCCCTGCCCTGGGGCACATCTCAGCGTGACCCCAGGGAGCCCCATGTCCTAGCATGGCCCCAGCTCTCCCTTACACTCCCCTATCCCTCTGCCCAGCTCCTGAACTCGCTGTGTTTCTTCCCGCAGACGATGCTGACGGCCATTTCCATGAGTGCGATCGCCACCAACGGTGTGGTGCCAGGTAGAGCCAAGCCCACGTCGTGCGTGTGCCGCGTGTGCGGGCAGCTGGTCCCTGCCGGGTGGGGTGGCTGTGGGGTTTTTCCCAGAGAGCATCCCCGGGGCTGCCAGCCGCTCCCCAGCCTTCTGCCACCAGCCCGCGGGGGATCCCCACGGCCCGGGGGAGCGCGGAGCTGGAGCCGCCACCCGTCCCCAAAGCCGCGAGGTGCAGATGGCAGCAAGAGCCGCCAGCCGCCGCTCCTCCCTCCGCCAGACTGGCGAGGCCACGGGGAGCCGGGAGCTGCACGGCAGGAGGATGGATGGGAGCAGGGCGTGCTGAGTGCCACGGGCTGGGCCATGGCACGGGCACGCTGCTGGGTGTGGGCTCTGCCCCGCAGGACGCACCGCGGGCTCTGGCCGGTGGGTGCCCTGGCTGCCTGCCCCAGAACATGCCAGCCCCGCAGAGCCCTGGGGAGCCGTGAGCTGCGCCAGGCTGGGCACAGCACTGACAGCTCAACGCGGGGTGTAATTAAAGCTATTTATCATCCTGCTGCCGCAGCGGGACCATCGATCCCGGCAGCCCAGCTCTAAGGGCTCCTCTGGGAGGATGGAGCAGGGTATGGCCCAGGTCCCTGGGGCTCCAGCTCCTGTCTGGTGTCCAGGGAACACCTGTGCCATTGGTCATTGCACCTGGCTGCTGGGCTGCTGGGGAATGACTGCCAGTGTGGTCACTCCTGCTGCTCTGCGTCTTGCTCAGTGCTGGAGCAGGGCCCATGGCTATCCCGGCTCCAGCCTGCCCTCTGGGATACCTGTCAGGGATACCTGAGGGTGTCACTGGGGTCTGGCTGGGACTCACTTTTACTCTCTCTGACAGCGGGTGGCTCCTACTACATGATCTCACGCTCCCTGGGACCTGAGTTTGGTGGGGCCGTGGGGCTCTGCTTCTACCTGGGCACCACCTTTGCCGGTGCCATGTACATCCTGGGCACCATCGAAATCCTGCTGGTAGGTACCTGGTGCTTGCCTTGTGCAGTGCCCTGGGCTCAGCTCTTGGCAGGGCAGGGGGCCTGAAGGACCCTTCCCCTGGGGCCCCTCTGCAGGCTGTTAGCCAGGTGGTGATGCCGTGACTCTTTCCCAGGCCTACATCTTCCCAGCCATGGCCATCTTCAAGGCAGAGGATGCCAGCGGGGAGGCGGCCGCGATGCTCAACAACATGCGTGTGTACGGCACCTGTGTGCTGACCTGCATGGCCACTGTCGTCTTTGTGGGTGTCAAGTATGTCAACAAATTTGCCCTGGTCTTCCTGGGCTGTGTCATCCTCTCCATCCTTGCCATCTATGCTGGTGTCATCAAATCAGCCTTTGACCCACCAAGCTTCCCGTGAGTACGGGGTCCTGCAGGGATGCAGCAGGGCTGGGGCATGCAAATGCTGAGTGCTGAGTGCCCGTGTCCCCCCAGGATCTGCCTCCTGGGCAACAGGACCCTCTCACGCCACGGCTTCGACCTCTGCACCAAGATGGTGGTGGAGGGGAACGAGACAGTTGGCTCCAAGCTCTGGGAGCTTTTCTGCACCTCCCGCTTCCTCAATGCCACCTGCGATGAGTACTTCACCATGAACAACGTCACTGAGATTGAGGGCATCCCCGGCGCTGCCAGCGGCCTCATCCAAGGTGAGCACATGCCAGCCAAGGCATGGGAGCATGGGCGTGGGCATGAAGGCATGGCAATGGCAGCATGGAGAAGGAAGGGCACGGGAGCTGTGCTGGGGCAGTGGCTGTGCCTGCTGGGCAGCTCTGCCAGCAGGGCTGGTGGAGGTGTGCTGTGGGAGGCCATCCTGAACATGGCTCCTTAGCCATGTCAGGTGTTGTGGGGGCAAACAGGGCTGGGTCCAGGTGAGAAAGCATGTGGGAGATCCCTGCTGGGGGCTGCTCTGCTCCTGAGGCACAGTGAGCTGTGCTGATGCTGTGCCAGGCAGTGGGACAGACTCCTGCACTGGGTGGTAGAGCAGGGCGCTGCAGCCACCTGCACGCAGTCTGTGCCAGCCAGTGGGGTGGCTCAGAATGATGCCCAAGGGCTGGGGAGGAATAAATCCTCTCTGCTTCCTCTTAGCCTTTGGAAAGGCTGGTATTGATTTGAGGTTTTGAGAGAAGTGATCACCCCTTGGGGCCATTTAGCTACTGTGGCTACAGCCCTGCTGGGAGAGGGGCCAGGACCACAGAAAGATGGGTGAATTCACTGGGAGGAGCCGCTTGTGACCTGTTTTTCTGGAGATGCTGGTATATCTGCTAGGTGCTCATGCTCAGCAGTGGGTGGCAGAGGCTGATCCTCTGTGCCACATTCAGAGGGTGTCTGCAGACCCCCATGCTGGAGTGGTTGTTGAAGCTCAGGAAAGTAGCAGAGCCAAGAGCAGGATCAGTCCTTCCTGATGGCTGCCCCAGCCATCCTGCCCTGGTGTCTGCGTGGCCACAGGCATGGGAGGTCAGACTTAGCCAAGCACGTGGTGCTCAGGGCTGCAGCTGTGACCGTGATTACGGAGTGCAGTCACAGGGTGTTTGTGAGCCTCCCGATGATGTTGCACTCTGAGGTGTTCTGGGTGAGATAAGGAGTTCCTGGCTGCTGGGTGGAACCTGCTCCTGTTGGCAATGCTGCTGCTGTTGGGGAGGGGGTGCAGACCCCCACCCACCCAGCTGATCTCTCAGGGCAACAGGCAGCAAACACTCCTGCACTGGGGGCATTGGGACAGAGCCAGGACCCCACTCTGGGGTGTCTGGTGACAAAAGTGACCAGTGCAGCAGCATCTTAAGATAGGTGGCACAGTTTGACCCTGGCAGAGATGGCTGGGGCTTGCTGTGCCCTAGGTGAGGGGTGAGGATGAGACAGGAGAGGCCAGTATGGGCTGCCAGCCCCATCTGTCACCTGTGAGCAGCCATGAAAGGGGCTCAGTGCTGGGGGCTGAGGGCTGGCTGCTCCTCTCTGCAGCCCCCCAGCAGTGACATGCCAAGGGCAGTTGCCTCTGCCTGCCCTGCCCGCTGCTGGCTGCTCTCCACTGCTCCAGTTTCTCTCTGCGATCTGCGGCCAAAGCAGCACGCGGAGGGACGCTAAGCCTGTTACATCAGCCCCGCACTCATAATCCCATCAAAAACATTATCAAGTTACTTTGACACGATCCACTTCCCTTAAACCTGTGTTGATCAGCATTAATTATATTACCCTCTTAATTATTTGCTACTGCAATCCCATGTCAGCTGCTCCAGTATCTTGTGGGGACGCTGCCAGCAGCAGTATGAACCTGATCTGGTTGCCCACCTGTGCTGTCATCCTCACCCTCTGGATGCCCGTGGCCCAGTCTGCTGGCTGAGGCCGGGGAAGGGGTGGGAGAACCAGAGACCCCCGGCTCCATCCCTGTGGGGCGGGGAGGCTGTGCTGGGTATGGGGGCTTGCGGGCATCTCATGCTGGCGTCACTGCCGGCCGCCTCCCTCCTCTCAGAGAACCTCTGGAGCTCATACCTGACCAAGGGCGTAATCGTGGAGAAGCGTGGGCTGCCCTCAGTGAGCTCCCCCGACACCCCAGTGGACATGGACCAGCCCTACGTCTTCAGCGACATGACATCCTACTTCACCCTGCTGGTCGGCATCTACTTCCCCTCAGTCACAGGTGGGAGTCCCGCCGGCCCCGCTCGGTGCGGCGGGCAGGGCGGGCGCACCGGGCACGTTCCGCCGGGCGTGTGCCACCCCCGCGCGGGGTGCGGCGGTGCCGCCATCGCCTCCCACGCAGCCGCCCGCGCTCCAGATCTGACGGTGCCGCCCGGTGCGCTGACGTCCCGCCGCCTCGGTATTTTTAGCGCTCCGGGGGCAGAGGAGCCCCCCCCGCCGCCCCAGTCCCGCTGCGGAGCCGAGCGGGGCGCAGCCTCCGGGGCTCTCCTGCAGCTCCGCCGGGGACAAGCCCGGCGGGAGCCCCCGGGTCGCCCCGGGCGTGGCGAGCGCTGGAGGGTCCGGCGCTGCGGGGTCCCGCTCGGCCTCCGCTGCCCTCCCTGCCGCTGCCCATCCGGCAGCAGGTGCCGGTTTCCCGGTTTCTGCAGGAGCTGTCCCCCGGTGCCGCGGGCGGTGCTGCGGTGGCCGGAGCGCGGGGTCAGCCCTCGGGCTGTGCTGAGCCCTCGTGTGCGGCCGTGTCCCTGCGTGACCTCCTGCCCTCCCGGAGCAACGTCGGGGCTGGACCCTGTCCCTGCCCCTGCGGCAGCCACCGTCCCTGCTTGAGCTAATTAAGGGCTAATGAGACAAGGCACTTGAGAGCTTTCGAGCCTAATCCTTGAGTGGCCTCAGGCTGCGGTTTGGGGTAGGGGGGGAAGTGCTGGGGGGGGATGAGAAGAGCAGGCTGGGTACCCCAAGCCGCAGCAGCGCCTTCTCTGCTGCCCGTCCTGGCACAGACCAAGCCGTGCCCTGCTGTGCCCAGGGCTCACGCGGTGCCTGGCATGAGGGTGTCTGGGACGGGGATGGGCTGTAGCTCTGCTCCCCCTGACACCATCCCCTCTTTCCCCAGGCATCATGGCTGGGTCCAACCGCTCTGGAGACCTGCGGGATGCCCAGAAGTCCATCCCCACGGGCACCATCCTGGCCATTGCCACCACCTCTGCCGTCTGTATCCTTCAGGGCTTTCCTGAGCCTGGGCTGTGGGGCTGAGAGTGGGTGGGCTCTGCAGGGCAGATCAGCTCTGGTGCTTCACTGGGACAGGGTCCCAGCACCCACTGGCTGGGCGGGCAGAGCTCTGCATCCTCCTGGCTCTCCTTGACTACCTGGCAGATATCAGCTCTGTTGTCCTCTTTGGAGCGTGCATCGAGGGGGTCGTCCTGCGCGACAAGTGAGTGTCCCAAGGCCGTGTGGAGAGTCAGTCAGCCCCCCGAAACAGGCTGGGGCAGGGGCAGCCCCAGGGGCAGGCAGAGGTGTGGGGAAGGCTGCAACCAGGATACACTGGGCAGACATGGGGGCGTTGGCTGCTCGTGGGTGTCACTGGGCAGGGGAGCTGGAGCTTGTAACAGGCACTGGGGGCTTGTGTGCACCCCAGCCATCCACGTTTGCTGCATTCCTCCCACTCCGGGGCTGCAGGCAGCCACTTGTTTGTCAACAGGCAGGGCTGCCTGTGCTCCTGCCTATCTGGGGCAGCCCTGCTCACCGCAAGTGGCAGGTGACACTTCTGGGTCGCCAGCACCAACACAAACAAGATCCAACTGCATGCATCATCATTGCCCTCTCTGGCACAGGGACAAGGAGTCCTGTCCCATACCTGCCTTTGTCCTTTGCCATGATAACGGGTACAGGGATGAGGACAGACCCCTGGCAACCTCTGAGCCTGCTCCATTGCTCGCCCCTTGAGTCAACATCCCGGTTATGTCACATCCCCCCGGAGTGGTGCTGTTGTGAGGGGCTGGGTTGTGCCGCTGTGCTGCTGCTCAGTCATGGGACAGAACCACAGGTGATGCTGATGTCCCGCAGGTTTGGTGAGGCTGTCAACGGGAACCTGGTGGTTGGCACCCTGGCGTGGCCGTCCCCGTGGGTCATTGTCATTGGCTCGTTCTTCTCCACCTGTGGGGCCGGGTTGCAGAGTCTCACCGGAGCCCCCCGCCTCCTGCAGGCCATCTCCAGGGATGGGATCGTACCTTTCCTCAGGGTAGGTGACCCCCGAGTCCGGTGCTTCCCCACCCTGAGCGCCCACTCTGGCTGCAGAGCCCACCAGCACGAGAGACCGGTGGGACCCCACCCTGCCTCCTCTCTGCCCCGTCGCTGCCGGAGCAGCCCCGCTTCCCTGCCCTCCTCCCGCCGGCACCGGCACCGGCACGGCGGTGGGCGGCCGTGGTGGCTCCGGCTGCGCTGTTGGTAGGAGGAGAGTGTCGGGAAAGGTCAGAATTCCCTCCCCCCCGCTGCCGTGCCGCTTCATATTTTATCTGCTCTCTGAAGACGCGTTCCCACAACCTCATCTCTCCAAATCCAACCCGACAGCTCCCCCCAGGGAAGAGCGGGCTAATTTTATCCTCCCTCCTTCTCCTTGCCAGCCCCGCCCGAGCTCTCACTCGCGCCGCCCGCACCCTCTAATGCGCCCGGACACGATCCCCCGGCCCCCTCCCCGGGACCCGCAGCCGCAGCAGGGGCCACTGTCCCCCGGCTGCGTGTCCGTCCCTGGCACAGGGTGCCCGACTCTGTGCTGGCTGTGGCCAGGCTGTGAGCCGGAGCTTGTCCCGGGTGAGGCACAGGGGCTGCTGTGCCGGCTGTGGGGAGAGCCAGGGGATTTGCTGGGAACGGGACTGAACTGTCAGCAGGAGCCAGCCCTGGGACTGCTGCCCTGGCAGATTGCAATGGGACATGTGCCAGCTCATGGCACCCAGTTCCCTGCTCCTGCCAGGGCTGGGTATATGGGAGGGTCCAGTCTCATCCTTGCCCAGGGCTGCAGGGCAGCGCAGAGCCTGATGTGCCCCTCTCCCCCCACTTCCAGGTCTTTGGCCATGGCAAAGCCAACGGGGAGCCAACATGGGCCCTGCTGCTCACAGCCTGCATCTGCGAGATCGGGATCCTGATCGCCTCCCTGGACGAGGTGGCTCCCATCCTCTCCATGTAGGCAGCGTGCTGTCGACCCGCACCTTCACAAGCAGTGGGTGGCGGGTGTGGGTCTCTGCTCCTCGGGGGGAGGGAGGAACGCACCTGCTGCCCTGGCCCCTGCCTGGGAAGAGGGGACCCTGCAGGAACTCTGGGGTCACATCTTGGCCAGCACTGAGGCTTGGTTTGTCCACGGCATTGCTTCTCTGTCCATCAGCGGGGCCTGCTCCAGTGTTGGCCACCCCGGGGACAGGAGGTGTGGAGACTCAGTTCCACACAGTGCACCCACTCAGCCCCCTGCTCTCTCCTGCAGGTTCTTCCTCATGTGCTACATGTTTGTCAACCTGGCGTGTGCGGTGCAAACGCTGCTGCGGACGCCCAACTGGCGGCCCCGCTTCCGCTACTACCACTGGTGAGCCGGGCGGGATGGGGCAGCACAGGGACACCCCAGGACACCCCGCTGTGGGGGCCCCAGGGCATGCTGACAGCTCTGTGCCCTCTGCAGGACCCTGTCCTTCCTGGGCATGAGCCTCTGCCTGGCGCTGATGTTCATCTGCTCCTGGTACTACGCGCTGGTGGCCATGCTGATCGCTGGCCTCATCTACAAATACATCGAGTACCGCGGGTAAGGGAGGCCACGGCGCCGCAGGTCCTGGCAGCCCCTCGTGGCTGCATGGCCTCTCAGCTCAGCTCCCCTGGGCTGCTTGTCCCAGGCTGCCAGCGTGGTGCTCTGTGGCCAGAGCCACGGGCATCCCTTATGTGCTGCTGGTTCCTGCAGGGCGGAGAAGGAGTGGGGTGATGGGATCCGGGGCCTGTCCCTGAGTGCAGCCCGCTATGCCCTGCTGCGGTTGGAGGAAGGGCCCCCGCACACCAAAAACTGGAGGTAAGGCTGGGCAGGGTATGGGGATCTGGGGTTCTGGGGCAGGGACAAGCTGGGCGTGGGCACTGACTGCAGGACCCTCCTTCCAGGCCCCAGCTGCTGGTCCTGGTCCGTGGGGATCAGGAGCAGAATGTGGTGCACCCACAGCTCCTGTCCTTCACGTCGCAGCTCAAGGCTGGGAAGGGCCTCACTATTGTGGCATCTGTGTTAGAAGGGACCTTCCTGGACAACCACCCTCAGGCGCAGAGAGCGGAGGAGGTGAGAGCTGCCTGCATTGGGACAGGCTGTGCCAGCAGTAGGTGTTCCTGGTCCCCACGTCCCCAGGGTTGTTTCTGCCCCATGGCCAGGGCTGGTGGCTCTGGGATGGCCTGGAGAGCTTTTGAGTGGCATCAGGCAGAGCCCAAGGACTCCATGCTTCACTGATGCTCCCCGTACCACAGGGACCTCTGGACTCCTCTTCCCCTCCAAGACACCAGAGACGCTGGCACCAGCCAGACGCTGGTCCCAGTTTCAGCCAGGTGCTGCAGGACTTGGCACAGCATGGCATGTCACAGCACAGCACAGTGCCCAGCCAGGGGCTGCTGTGCTGCTGGGCTGAGCAGACTCCTCAGCCTCAGCCCTTGCCACAGTCTCTGTGGCCCTGGTGCCAGGCAAGGTGGGAGACGAGCATTTCCCTGCCAGAGTGAGAGCACTCCCCACCCCCTGCACCCGCGGGGTGGCACATTAATGAGATTAAGCCCTCGGAAGCAAACAGTTTCTCTCCCATGCAGACATGTTATAATTTCTCTGAGTAAATAACTCTAATTGCTGCTCTGCCACCTGTCAGAGCCCTGGCACAAGGACACCCTCCACTCTGCACGGTGCAGAGCTGTGTGCCAGCTCTGTGCGCTGCTGGGTATCACCCCCCTGGCCCAGAGCCACTGGCCTGCCATGGGGCACAGAGACCCAGGCACCTTGTGAGGACCTGTACCCCACATCCTGCACCCTGTACCTCATTTGGCCTGGGTTGGGCCACTGCTGGGCCTGGCAGCTGCTGTGCCCATGATCCATGCCTGTCCCCGAGGCCCTGGGATCTCTGACTTCCTTCTCCCTTGCAGTCCATCCGGCGCCTGATGGAAGCGGAGAAGGTGAAGGGCTTTTGTCAGGTGGTGATCTCCTCTAACCTGCGGGATGGCATGTCCCACCTCATCCAGTCCAGCGGGCTGGGGGGGCTGCAGCACAACACAGTGCTGGTGGGCTGGCCCCGCAGCTGGCGCCAGAAGGAGGACCACCAGACCTGGAGGAACTTCATTGGTAGGCACCTTGGAGGGTGGACACTGCCGGGCTTGGGGGGCTGCAAGCTGCCCTGGCTGACGTGGCCCTTCCCCTCCCAGAGTTGGTGCGAGAGACCACAGCTGGGCATCTGGCCTTGCTGGTGGCCAAGAATGTTGCCATGTTTCCGGGCAACCAGGAGCGGTTCTCGGAGGGCCACATCGACGTCTGGTGGATTGTCCACGATGGGGGGATGCTGATGCTGCTGCCCTTCCTCCTGCGGCAGCACAAGGTAGGCTGTGCCCCGCAGTGCTGGGCCCTGCAGCGCGGGGCCGGGGCCGGGGCTGCGGCCGTCCCTGTCCAGCCGTGCCCGAGCCTCCCCCGTCCCTTGCAGGTGTGGCGTAAGTGCAAGATGCGCATCTTCACGGTGGCACAGATGGATGACAACAGCATCCAGATGAAGAAGGACCTGACCACGTTCCTGTACCACCTGCGCATCACCGCAGAGGTGGAGGTGGTGGAGATGGTGAGTGCTGGGATGGGGCATGTGCTGCAGTCAGGGATGCTGTGCATGGGAGAGCCAGACAGAGCCTGACGTGGGGCACACAGCACCGTGGGGGGACACAGCACCACGGGGACATGCTGGGCCAAGATGGGAGCAGTTGGTACAGCTCACCCTGCTCCAAATTTCTCCTGTTCCCCCCACAGCACGAGAGTGACATCTCTGCCTACACCTATGAGAAGACACTGGTGATGGAGCAGCGTTCCCAGATCCTCAAACAAATGCACCTCACCAAGAATGAGCGGGAGCGGGAGGTGAGGCTGTGGGACAGGCTGGGTGGGCTCTGACCCCTGTGGTGGCTCTGATGTGAACCTAGCTGCCCTGCAGCTCTGTGTGCTCATCCTGATGGAGAACTGGGCTTCAGGCTAGGCTCTGCCCAGCCAAGCCCTGTTGTGCCCAACTCCCTTGGCTGACCCCTCCCACACAGATCCAGAGCATCACGGATGAGTCCCGTGGCTCCATCCGGCGCAAGAACCCGGCCAACACACGCCTGCGCCTGGACGTCCCTGAGGAGCAGGCTGCTGACGGAGAGGAGAAGCCAGAGGAGGAGGTGAGCAGTTATACCAAGACACGGTCAGGCAGGTAGCTATGCCCAGGTCCTGCCCATCATTCACCTCTTTCCTCTGCAGGTCCAACTAATCCACGACAAGAACGCCACCACCTTCTCCAGCAGTTCTCAGTCTCCTGGTGATGAGGTAGAGGCAGCCCCTGAGAAGGTGCATCTCACCTGGACCAAGGAGAAGTCCGTTGCTGAGAAGAACAAGAGCAAGAGCCCTGTCAGCCCTGAGGGCATCAAAGACTTCTTCAGCATGAAGCCGTACGGCCCCCCATGCTGCCACCCTGTCCCACCCATGCCCTGTGATCCTGGCTGTCTCTGCCTGCCCCAGCCAGGCGGGTGCAGGCAGGGCCTCAGCTGCACGAACTTGATCCTTGCTCTGAGGAGTGGTCGGGCAGCCTGGGTGCTCTGAGTGCACCCTTGCAGAGGGGCTGGGGGCAAGTGGGGAGGGGTCCCTGTGTAGAACTGTGCTGGCAAGGGATGGGGTGCTCAGGCTGGGGGGTGATGTGGGGAGTGGGGGTGCCCACCTAGTGTTCACCACATTTCTCTTCCTCTCTCTCTCTCTCTCTCTCCGACCCCATCATGCTCCTGGCAGGGAGTGGGAGAACCTGTAAGTCTGGGTTTGGCTGGGTGCCTGGGGCTGGGATGGAGGGAGCTGGGTTGTGCTCATGGGGCAGCATGATGGGAGCCATCGGGGTTGCCCCTGTGCAGGAGGGTGGCTCAGTGAGCCGTGACAGCTGCTGTGCCAGACACTTCACCCGGGCAGCGTGCGGCAGCTCTGGCTGCCAGCCCCGTGCACCGTGCACTGCCCGCACCGCACGCTCCTCGTCCGCCCTGCTATGCTGCCAGCAGCTCCCTGCAAGCCTGGGCTCAGGCACCCACGGTGACACTCGTGCTGTCTGCTCCTGCTCACCCCCCGCCGCCTGGCCTCAAGCAGCTGTGGCTGTCGCTGCCCATGGACGCTGTGCGTGGCCCTGTGGCTTGCGGCCACTGGTGCAGGCTCAGAGTCACCAGCGCAGTGCCTGGCAAAGCTTGCTGCACCCCGAGTTTGTGCTGCAGCCCAGCCTGCATTGCCTGAGGGCGGGAGGCCAGGGTGCCCTGTGGCCCCTTGGGCCTGGCATGGCTGGAGGCTGACCGTGCCTGTCCCATGCCCACACGTGCTGTCGCCCACAGGAACCAGTCCAACGTGCGGAGGATGCACACAGCTGTGAGGCTCAATGAGGTGATTGTGAAGAAGTCCCAGGATGCCAAACTGGTCCTGCTGAACATGCCAGGGCCTCCCCGTAACCGGAAAGGGGATGAGAACTGTATCCTTCCTGTGGGGCAGTCATCAAAACCCCTCTATGCCAGGGGGACCAGGGGCCATGTCTTTCCCAAAACTGGTGGTCTTTTAGGTGAGTGCCAAGTGGCACAGGTCAATTCTTGAGCTTGGACACCCCCATACCTCCTGCTCCTGGCTGGGTCCAGCAGCTGTCATTGGCACCAGCCTGCCCCTCCAGCACGTGATGGGTGCTGGGACCACAAGACATTGCACCTACACCCATGAGTGCAGTGGCACATGACAGGGGCCTGGGTAGAGGTCTGTGGGGCTCGGCCATCTGCTGGCTCAGTCACCATCCCCATCTCGCAGCACCAGCATGGGTGGGCTTCCCTGGCCCCTTGGCTTGGGACTGACCCCACCAGCTCCTGGCTCTGGTGTGGAGGTGTTCATGCTGCAGGCTCAGCTGGGGCTGGGCAGGGATGGCACGGGGCTGTCCCCATGTTCCCCAAGTGTGAAGTTTGTCCTCCTTGACAGCTGTACAGACATGGAGTTCCTGGAGGTGCTGACGGAGCATCTGGACAGAGTGCTCCTGGTGCGTGGTGGGGGCCGGGAGGTCATCACCATCTACTCCTGAAAGACGGCGTGAGAGAGGTTTGTCTGCACACCGAGAGCCCCGCCACCCCTTTGCAGCGCGCCCCGGAGGGGAGGAGGGAAGGCCGGATGGCAGCCGGTGCGCAGAACCTTCTCCTGGCTTTGGCCGTGCCCCTGATCTCTCCATTCGAACTGCAGCACCAGATCTTCCGGGAGCATCCAGCACCAGAGCAGCTGTTCCTCATTGCAACACCACAGCACTGCTGTCCTTGTTTATATATAAATATATACAGTGAACCGCGGACTGAGCACCGGAGCCCGGCCCCGCCGCCAGCCGCAGCCGCTGGCCGGGCAGGAGGGCGGCTGTGCCGAGGGGCCTTGGCCCCGGGTGCTGCTGCTCCTGCACACACTGGGCTGGACGTGCCCCTGCCTCCCTGCGGGCTCCTCTCGCAGCCCAGCGGCGCCCGGGCTGCCCCGCAGCGCTGCAGCCTCTGCCGCCGGCCCGGACAGCCCCGCCTCGCCGCTGCCTCGCCTCTGGAGAGCGCCGGCTGAGCTGCTGGAGATGCAGCGATGGTTTGGAGGAGGCAGAGGGAGGGGGGCGGCTGAGCGGGGTCAGGTTTTGGGGCGCAGCAAGGCGGCGGAGCAGGAGCCCTGCGCGGGGGTGGTCGGGGGTGCTGCCTGTCCCCCCTGCCTGGCTCCAGGCTCTCTCTCCCCTGGCGCTGCCCCGGTGCTTGCGCAGGAGTCGCGGTGTGGAGCTGCGGTGCCGGGGGCTGCCAGGGGCCCTGCCGTGTGCAGCGTGAGCCGGGGTCTCGCTGGAGCCGCATGGGTGCTGGGGACCCCCGAGGCACCAGTGCCTGCTCTGGCCTGGCACAGGGGTGTCCCGGACCCCCACCCTGCTCCCCCGCCGCACTAAACTGGGGGCTCTCAGGGCCCAGCACCAGCCAGCCCGGCTGGCCCCAGCACCTGCACATGTGTCTGGGTCTCCCCTGTGCCCCGCTGCACTCCCTGCTGCTCCCCAGGGCTTTGCTGCTAACCCAGCCCTGGCCGCGGCCCCAGGCAGCCGCGGATGCTGCCGGGGGCTGTAGGACAGTCTGGATCTGCGTGTATTTTTAACATATGCAAAGGCTGTTTGCTGATCTGACCAGCAAGACGTCACAGTGAAGGGGGGACTGTAGGGGTCCCACTGCCCCCCCCCCCCCGGCATCTTGACACTCCCGCCGGCCCCCGGGGGCAGATCAAACACCTCTTATCTTTGGCAGCAGCTGCAGGGTCGCCCCCGCCGCCGTCCCCCCCTGCCTCCCCCCTCCCCAGCATCTCTCACAGAAGAGAAACTGAGGCGCTTTTAACAAATGTGAACGGTTCCAGGAACCACGCAGGAAGCGGTGCGAGGGCAGCAGGGTGCCGCTGGCGCCCGCCCCAGCCCCATGTACATAGTGTACATAATACAGTACGTGTATTTTTAAAGTGATCATATTTATGTTAATAGAACCAGATGAAGTCTATATATAGAGATCTATATCTATTCTGAGAGATGCAGGGCTCTGCTAGCACCAGGCCACAGGGACGGGGAGCTGAGCCGGGCTGCTCCTGCACAAACCAGGAGCCCATCCGTCGCACTGAGCGCTCCAGAGTGGTGGTGGAGGCTGCAGCCTTCCCCGGCCACCAGCAGCCCCTGGGAAAGGGCCAGGTCGCAGGTTTATTCTCTTCTCAATTTAGCTTCTTAAGAGTTTTCAGGGAAAAGAAGTCACAGACTTTTCTGAACTTGTTTCACAGCAGATTTGAGCTTCCACTCAAAGTGCAGCCTGCTAAGAGTTGCCCTCTCCTGGCAGTGCTGGCGGCTTTGTGCCAGCCTGGGCCCTGGGGCAGCACTTTGTCCCCGGCCAGAGCTGAGCCCCTGTGCTGAAGCACTCGCCCCCTCAGCCCCGCAGCTACCCGCTGCTGCTCTGCACTGCAGCAGGGGCAGGGGGAGCGGGTGCTGCTACAGCATCCCATCCTGGCACAGGCAGTCCTGACTGCTCTCAGCTCCCTGCCCACCCAACCCCTGCCAACTTTGGCTACTGCCTCCCAGAGAACAGGAAACCCCCCCTGCACCGGCCACTCCAGCCCCTGCTCCCTTTCAGAGCTCCGCTACTCCAGGTCCAGGCCAAAGCTATTTGGGGATGCTTGGATAAAGAGCAGTGGGTTTTTTGATGTTGGATTTTTTTTTTTTTTTGGTGTAAGATACTACTTGGACACACTCCTAGACCAAAACCAAGCCCCAGCTGCACATCTGTGCCTGCTCATACCTTGCTCCTACATTTCCATCACTCCCGAAGTGCCTCCCTTCTCTCCAGGAGCAGTCCCAGTCACAGCCAGACTTTGCCAGGGTAGCTCGGTAGCCGGTGTGGCTGCAGGTCTGTGTGACAGACGCTGCTGTGGAAGCTGCTCCCACAGGCATGGGGAGCTCAGCATTTACAGGGGGACTGTCAGGCTGAGCTGAGACCTGGCTTCAGCACAGGAGCTCAGGGCTGACGAGTGCTGCAGATGCACAGGGTAGCACTTTCCGGTCTTGCTGCTGCCTCAGCAGCCCAGGAGCTGTGAGAAGAGCAGGTAGGGGTCTGCAAGTGAAAAAGTTCCTTTAGTTTTGGGAAGGGCAGCCCACGGGAACTAGCATTTGCCGGTGTCTAGCTGTTCTGCCCCTTGGAGCTGGCCCTATACCACCACACACAAGCTCGCGGGCTGTTTCCAACCTCCCAAAATTATTTGAGGTACTTCAGCAGCAGCGGGGGAGGCACAGCAGCCTGCCCACACAGCTCATGTGTTAGCACCATGTTGTTGGGCCTCGAGCACTTGCCAGCTGCTCTGCCTCTTCACAAGATGCCACTCACTCCCTGCAGTTGCCCTCTAATTGCAGCTTGGCTGGGCCTGAGGCAGCGAGCATGGTCCCCTCCTGCTCTGGCACATGGTGCAGGGCAGAGGGCAGGGGCAGGCTATGCACAGCCTCTGCTGAGCCTGCAGACAGCGCCCACCCTCACAGCACCAGGTGAGAGGCTCCTCCGTTGGCTGCAGGTGCAGGACAGCCAGGAATGACATTTGCAGAGCAGTGGTGAGAGCAGCCAGGGCACACTTCTGACAGGTTTGCTTTATCCCCCCAGCATCACCAGTGGATCCCATTCCCCTCAGCATCACTTCCACCCTGACGGCAAAGCCACGGTCCTGGCTCCCCCAGGGAGTAGGAAGGTCATTCCTTTCCATCACTACTGCTGACAAAAGGCATTCTCCTTCCCCATCCTTCAGCAAGAGCAGGGGCACAGCTCTGGACAGTCAGGGCTGCTCCCACACCCCTGCCAGGCAGTTTGGCTGTGGCAAGACAGGAGCTGGTTTCCACAGCGTGTTGCTTCACTGTCGGCTGGAGAGGGCCAGTTTTAGCAGACAGCACTGCATGTTAGTTTACAAACCCAGCCCTGCACGTTTGGCCTCTGTGAGTGTTCAGTTTCCCCATGGAGCACCCTTCTGCCGCTCCACCGTGGTGAAGACAGTGTCCTCCTCTGGTACACATGCAAGTTCCTCCTTGGCACATGCGCAGACACGGTCCGGATTTTGTTCCAGACAGGAAGGTCTTGACCCCCCCAGTTTGTTTTACAGGCAGGCTGCTGCTGGAGCAGCACAACCCACGGGAGGGTGGGCTGGAGCGTGGCCACAGCTGGCAGGGAGCGTTCGGCCAGCACACAGCGCTGGTGGCACGAGCTCAGTCCCTGCTGCAAGAGGGCCAAGCAGCCCCGGCCCCTGAGCGGCAGTGGGCAGCTCAGGTCACTGTGGAGGGCAGCTCAGGCTGCTGTGGCCAGCACACAACACAGGCAGCAAGGCACAGGGCAGCAGGGACAGGAGGCACAGGCAGCATCCAGCCTGGGCAGATGCTGGTCCGTGGCTGGATGGACGAGAAGGACAAGACTGCACAAGGGCAAGAGTTGCACTAGAAGAGTCAAGACCCTCCTCTGTGTAGCAGGACTAAAAACTAGCAGAAAGACCAAAAGGTCTGAGATCTGCTGGTTACAACACTTTCTGTGCTACATGTGCAATATATTTGTTATGAATGTTATCACAAAGTCGGTTCATTCAATACTCTTTTAATCACTGTAGCTAGATGTTCTCTGTCCATTCAAGTGACTTTTATTCGAGTGCAATATTTCAATAGACATGTAGTGACCTAGAATGCTTTGTGTTTTAGAGAATCTGTGTGCAGAGCAATGCAATTAAGTTTAAAACCTTGTAAATAAAACAGGTTGCAAACCAAAAAAAAAAAACCCTAATAGGCTTGCATTTAATTTCTGTGTGTTTCAGTGTTGTGCATTAGGCCGCCTCGGTGCAGACCCCGTGTTCTCTGTGCAGGTGTTCATGGAGGAGTGGCTCCTCAGCTGTTGAATGCTCCCTGTTAATGCTTTACTGCTTTACCTGTATTCATTTTTCTAGACTCCTGTCTGCACAAAATGCAATAAATGATTTTATTACACCCTTCACTACTTGCACGGGGACTTTTCACTTGCTTCCAGGTCTCCACAGCTATTTGGCACCATTTCCATAACATGGAGCAAGCCCTGACAAGGTGCAGATTACAGAGGAAGCAAAGCACAAGGAGAGGAATAGCCTCTTTACAGGGATGCAGTTCCCACATTTCACCTCACAAAAATCTCAGGTCACCCCATCAGAAGTGTTGTATGGGGCTGCAGGATTGTAGAGGCGGAGAAAGGGATCTGTCAGGAGGAGAGACAGTAGACAGACACGCTGCTGTCCAGACTCAGCCTGTGGGGTGATGGTAGCACGAAGCCATGGGACACCAGTGCTGAAGGAACAGGGACTTGCAGCCCTGACCTCACGCTGGCTTGTGGTACTGACCCGGACCTGTCCCTCCCACCGCCTGTCACCAGAGAGGTTTTGGACTCCTCACACTGGCTGTGCCACACCACAACTTCCTGAGGCCACCCCAGGGCTGTGCAAGAGTCAGGACCTGTGAGGTCCACACACATTGTGCTCAGCATCCAGTGTGGAGCTTCCAGCACAGCTTATCCAGGAGAGGAGAGTAACAGCAAACACAGTGAGTGGGAGTACTCAAGTATCAAAAAAATGCAACAAGAATTTTTTTTGACCTTTTATTAGAAAGTCATGTCCTCTTGTTAACAACACAGAGATAAAAGAAATGCTACAACACAAACCACCTGGGACAAAGAAAATCCTCTGCTCCAATCCACTGCTTTCTTAATATCTCACAGCTCCCTGCAGGAAGCCCACAGACTCCAAGAAGGCCATGATGGGGAGGACCACATAGTTAAGTGATGTTTTCTGTTCTGGTATCAAAGTATGTTCCCAGTAAAAACACGGTGAGGAATCACTGCCTGATGTACCACTCCACTGTCTGCTGCAGCTACCAAAGTGTTGGAAAAATGTTTAAAATTATGGTATTAACATCTTGGCACTGCCTCTCCTCCTCAGATGGACCAAACATCCATCAACAGCAAGAGGTCTGATAGAGCAGCATTGCCCCCAATACCTGGTGACAGGCTGGAAACTTTTCCCAGTTTCCCAGGGAGAGCCAGCAGCACATCACTGTGGCTGCAGCTAAGCTACACTAACAGTGGTGTCAAAGATTTTAAGAAAATGAAATTTACACATCAAATTTACCAGTAACACTGATTACTCACGGCAGGAAAATTGACAGACCATTTGAAATCTCTGCCTTGGCTGGAAGTTCTTGTTGCAGATGTGTGCTCAGCCCACAGCTGCCAGTCTCTGTGAGTGGTCAGGAACACTGGCCTCTCTGCCTGGACAGGGCAGGCCAACTCTGGACGGACTGCACAATCCTGGTAACGGAGCAGTGGTCAGGCATGTGCCTCATGATTTTGGTTGCCAGCACTATCACTGGACTTTCCAAATGGCGTATATGCTATTAAAAGGGGAAATTAAAAAAAAAAAAAAAAAAAAAAAAAAAAAAAAAAAAGTGCCCATTCCACAGTGGTGGGTGTCCAAGGCCCATCAGTTTGCTGCTCTGTTCAGTCCCCTAATTCATTAAAACTGATGATCCAAAACTACACTGAGACCAATCAGTGAGCCCAGACTACACCTCAATGGGAAGGTGCAGGTGCACCTGGTTCTGGGAATAAGGAAAATGCAGCAGGACTGAAGCTGCGTCAGGTTCTGGGATGGGACAAGACAACCAACGATCCAACACAGTTCAGCACATCGTGCCATGGAGAAAACTGAGCATTCTGCTCCAAACATTGCTAACCAGACCAAGGAGAGGGAGGGCAGCGCCAGCAACCGTTGGCAGCAATGCTGCAGGGGGTATGCTCTCGCCAGAGTGGAGAGGACATGCACGTCCAGGGCAGGTCAAGGATGGGAGACTTCTTTAACAGCTATAAGTATGGAATGGCAAAGGGAAAGGGAATGGGTCCAACAGCTCAGCTCTAATAGTGTCGCTGGTAGGCACCCATCGGTTGCTGGGCTGAGGACCCCGCTCGCCCCTGGGCCACGGTTTGGCTCACAAGGTGGGAGAGTGCAGGACCACTCTGGATAAGGGTGTCCAAGGCTTTCTGTACACTGGGGTTGTCAAAGTTGATACCAGAAGACACCGGCCTTTGGGCGGGCACATTGCCAGGCGCAGGGAGGCGGGTTTGGTGCTGACCATAGAGCGGCTGAGGTTGTGGAGGAGCTCCAGGTCTTGGACCTGCATTTCTCGAAGGGCCTGGGAGAGCAGGAATCTGCGTGTTTGGAGTCTGCAATCTCTGCTGAGCCTGGTTTAAATTTCCAGCATTCATCTGTGCTGGCCGGGGCTGCCCGCTGGCCAGGTTAGCAAAGTTCTGGTTGGGAGTGCTGCCCGAAGAGCCGGCGGAGGCAGGACCGCTGTTTGCCACAGCAGCTGCCGCCGCCGCCGCCCCGCTGTTGAAGAGACTGAGGATTTTTGCTTGAAGCTCCTGCTGAGGAGTAGAAGAGGACACTGGAACAGAAGGAGTAGACACCAGAGGCTGTGAACTCTGATGAGCCTGAGAACTTGGAAGGTTGGACTGACTACTCAGTGATGATCCTGAAGGTGCCCCCAAAGGTTGTCTTGACATGGGTGCTGGGAAAGAAAGGAAAGCTGGTTAAAGCTCTGCAAATGCTCTCGAAGGGACACCTAAAGAAAACTAATGAAACAGCTACCAAAGACATGTCATCAGTGAACATCCACCCTCAGATCACAGCTGCACAGCTCTGGGAGCCCAAACCACTCTTGAGAACTGAGCGTAGAAGTCCAACCAGTTATGGCAGTCCTGCTGTTGTCCTACGAGAATCCAGCATAAAAGGTCTTCCACATGAATACTCTGAATTGTCTCATGGCATGCACCGACACATCCATCTCAGTAAAATGAGGTACTACATGAGGATGTTATGCTCCCAAACTCCTGTGCAGTCCCAGGACTCTTTTCCTGTCCTAGCCCTGAGGACCAAAAACCACACAGTAAAGCCTGTCTGGGGCTGTAGGACTTACCCTGCAGAGTTTCACTGCTGCCCCGCAGCAACCGTTCCTTCCGGTCTCTCAGGTAATTAATGACTTTATCCATCTCCTCAGCAGTCACATAGCGATTGTCTGCCAGCAGGTTCAAGAGAGTTTGGATCCCGGGAGGGTGACCTCCTCTGACACCCTCCTCCATGGGGGGTGGGCGCTCCCGCTCCTGCAGAATAGCTTCGTCTGCCATCTTGGCAGCCTGCCGGGCAATCTCCTCCCGCTCCTTCTCCCGGGACTCTGTCTTGTAGCGCTCGTAATTCCTTGCCACCAGCACCATGGCATCAGCCTGGGGCATGTTGCGGTGCTCTGCGCAAAGGAAGAAATGCTCTGAGTGACCCGAAGTGACCCTGATGGAGGTGCTCTTCCTCCCGCCTGCCAGCACAGCCCATCAGCAGTACTCAGGGAGTGTGAGTGCAGACTCGGGAACTTCCCAGGCACACAGGAACAATTACATTTTCAAAGCCAACAGAAGACCCACAGCTATCAGCCAGCAAGGCCAGCCTTTCCTCCTGCAGCTGAGGGCTCAGCCCAGAAATCTCTTTCTTGTCTCTCATAAGTTAAAAGGAAAGCAGCTCCCTCTACCTCTCATATAAATTCTCAGTTCTCCGAGATGAGATGGTCCCAGTCTTTTACTGCTAAACCCTTGGACAGATCCAAAACTTGCCCTCTGAAGGGTGTATGCTTCCCAGAGGCGAACAGCCATGGGAATACGTTTGTTTCTGTGCTGCCAGTGCCTTAACATCTCATGTGCACATGAGGCTGGGGAGGGAGCAGCACTGGCTCAGTGTCACATGGCTGCTCACATTCCCCACTCTTAAGGCAACAAGCAGCAATCAAATTCTTCTGTAATAAAATGAGTAATGGGCAATATTAATGGTAGGTTTTGAGGTCATTATTTCCAACTCCCAAAACACACACATGAACAGTCAGCCGAACACAGATTTAAACTGGGAGATCTAAAGGGCCTTTACCCTCCCAAAAGTGCTCAAAGCTCTGGGTAGGGTCCTTTTAACACCTGCAGAACATCAAATCCTGCAAGCCTTTTCCCCCTAACAGGAAACTTGGGTTCATTTTAACATTAAGCTCTGCACAAGCTGTGAAAGAGTTCCCTGTAACAAACGTGCATGCAGAGGTGGCCAGGAGCAGCTGAAGTGACCATATCTAATCTCTGGAATGAGCTGTGGATGAACTAATGACTGGGGTTCCCATCACACCTGATACACCAGCAGATCCAGTGAAGAAAAGAAGCTCTGGCCTCCTGCCAAAGGTTTAACAGGTGTTAAACCAAAGAAGCTGAGAATTAAAACCAAGGGTAGTGGGAAAGCCAGTGACAGTGCATGTGAGCTGTGTGTCTGCAGGAAATGAGGGAGCTCTCCTCTCACATCTGCATCTGATGTTAAAAGAAACTGGGCTTCTCCTGTCAGTGAGCACACACCAAGCACTGAGCGTGCACTCAGAGGTTTCCTCTTCCAGATGAACTCACAGAACATTACTTGGGAACACAGTAAGGGAGAAATAACCTTTGAAAGCTCAGCTGTGGTCAAACCAGTCACCTGTGTGACTGTGTGGTCAAACCATTCACAGATTACACGAACAAGACTAGGATCAGGCAACAGCTGCTTTGCCCAATCACATTTTGACAAGGCATTTTTAGTATCTACACCCACCCTCATGCAACAACCAAATCACACCCTGTGATGGAAAGTGATGTGACAAGTGTAAAGGTGCTAAGAAGGAGGAGCCTGTATACCCAAACACTTTGTAGCTCTATCTTTTCATAACACTTTGTAGTTTTATTTTTTCGTAACTCTTCCCAGTTTCATTATCAAATCTCTACCATTACCAAATCCTTTTTAAATCACATTTGATTTTAAAATCTGTCCTTTAATTTACCACATTCCCAACACACTATTTCTGAGAGCAAGAAGTGGTAGAGCAAGGTTGGGCTGATATTACTGAGAGGTCTCCCACAGCAGTGCAGCTCTGGGGTCCACGACTTGCCCTAACACTGCTAAGGCTGGCAGTGTTAGGAGCCAAGAACACAGATGAGATTCCCTCTTGGCAGGAATCAGACATTCCTTTTGACAAGGGGCAAATAGAGTATTACGGAAGCTTTTAAGTAATGATATTCACATTTATGACATGGTGTCAAGTAATTTATAACTACTTATGTGACAGCAAGGATGAGCTTTGTCCTGTATGAGTCTGCCTGAAAGAAAGGTTCAGAGTGACCACACAATTCCCAGCCCACTGAGACTGTGGTACCTTGTGGAGTGCCAAACATGATGTTAACAGTGCAAGAACGGTGAACTTGATGCTGCTGGGTGATGACAATGGCGAAAGGAGACCCTCCTCTGCTCACATCGTCCAGGGCTTGCGTCAGTGACATCTCTGTGTTGAGGAAGATCAGGTCCACTACCATGCCCAGGTCCCGCACCTTCCGCCCCACGGACTCTGCATACTCCCTACCACAAAGCAAAGCCAGCAGTTTAACAAATCAGTCACATACAGGAACAGAAACCTTGGCACTGCACCCTCTCCACCATCTCAGACTCGCTTTTCTGATTACTTGCCCAACTTCATGACGTTTAACAGGACAGTACTAAAGCAAACCCATTATGGCAATATAAAAGCCCTTATTCTGATCTGAATCAGTCATTTTAGTTCAACCAAAATAAATTACAAATCAAGCCTTAGCTGAGCTGAGAAACAGAGTGTTTGCCAAGGGATTTACACTATTACAAATTTGTTTACAAATAAATGCATTTCAACTGAATTCGTTAGGGGAAGAAATTTACGCCAGCAGAGGTCTAAGGGGTACAGAGCAGAGAAGCCAACCTACAGAACTCATTTACTCCTGCTTTGTTCAGTATTTCAACTGTTCATACATGCCTCATTCCTTATTGGCCTGCTCTTTTCTACTAGCTGCTTTCTGCTCTACCCACTGCCAACACAGCATCTCTGGATCCACAGCTCCTGTACACCCTGTCCTACAGACTGCCCTATCCAAACACAAAATTCAGCTCACAAGACTGAGCTTGAATTGCCAAGGGTTTTATTTAAGCCCACTATACTTAGAACCAAACCTGCAATACTGGCTGCACAAAAAGTCTGACAAATTCAATCTGTGTGCACCCGCACCTCAAGAAAGAGGGTTATTTTATTGTCTTTGGAGGCAAGTCTGTAACGGTAATTAAAACCTTCCCCCCTTCAACCATCTTTTTAAGAGCTTTGAAGTCAAATGACTTTATCTAAGGCATTCAGGAGTCATCTTTCAACAGGTCTACAGCAGGCGAGATCAGTGCTTCAATACAAGATTTATGAACAGGCTCCAGCTCTTACGGTTTGTAGCTGTTACAGACCAAAATGATTCTTGGGATACTAAGCTAATTCCCTGGCACAAAAAAAAAAATATTCTTGGGTCAAGCACAGTAACTTGTGGTCTATTAGAATATCTTCCAAAGAATTTTAGCCACCAGGGGATAAAGGATCTAAAATTTCCTCTCAAGATTTGTTCCAATAGGTAATCAACTCCATCAGAAGTTTATTTCTAGTTTCACTGCTTCTCCTGTTTCTATTTCCTGCTCTATTTTCTATCAGCAGATGAGGCAAGTGCCAGCTGTCTCTTTCTGCCCCACATGTACAACAAAGTTAAAGAAAAGCAACTCTTGATCTTTTCTCTGAAAGGTGAAGGAGACAGATCTTTAACTTTTCCCCAGCATTTTCCTCAGATTACAAGCCAGATCTGTGATTTATTTACATATTTATTATTTTTTAGTATATTTAATTGTAAAGATACAGACATCAGACTGGTAACATTGTTAAAGCCCTCTACTACTGTGCCAGGTGTACCTCTTGTTCATAGGTGCCTGCCCTATGAACTCAGTAAGTGCTCAGCCAGCCACAGGAGATGATCCTGCTTACTACTTATACCTGCTTTTGATACCGTCCCCAACTGCCTTCAGCAATGATTTTGTACTTCTTGCACATTGGACTAATGGCAATGACTGGTGTCTGACCTAGGAACCAATCCAGCAGGAGCTCTGAACTAACACTCCCAATCCACCCTGACCCCTGCTCTGTACTGGCACTTGGTTGGTACATATTCCTAAGTTCCATATCATGCTACCCATGAAAAACAAGTACAGGACCCTACAACCTGTTGAAATGGTAGGCTGATATGGAGAGTAGGTATAAAAGTATCAGGGGAAGGTATAGCAATAGATTACAAGGGGGAAATACAAGTAAAGCACAAGATACATTTCCTCATCTCATCAACACATATTCCCAGAAGAAAAATGGGAGCTGTAGCTTCCTGGGGACTCTAAACCCACACTCCTCAAGAGCAACCTGTAAGACAATCAGCCTCAAGGCAGGACTAAGTTTAAATCTTCTACCATGAAATAATAAAACTGATTATAACTATTTTCTTACTTTGTCTGTTTATTCACCACTATCACAGAACAATCCACGGGTCTCTCTGCATCAAAACGTCTCTTGATTTCCTCATAGTACTGACGGTACAGCTCCTCCCGGCGCCGCTCCTCGCGCTTCAGGTGGTCTGAAATGAGCCGCAGGGACAGGACAAGTGACACCCTTCAGACCTGCTCAGAGCACCACAAGTGTGGCACTGTGGCACCATGGCACCCTTCCTCTGAAGCTGTACAGGTACTCACCCTCTGGCTCCTTGTAGCGGTCGTAGTAGGAGTCGTCCTTGCGCCGGTAGTAGTCGTCGAAGCGCAGGTAACGGTCGTAAGATTCGTCTCGTCTGCAACATTCAGAAGCAGCAATCGTTTCCTGCAGCACCATCTCAGGCAGCGACTTTGGGCAAAGCATCACACCCAGACCTCCCCCAAGTTTAATTTCTGAGGTACCCATCTGCTCCTTGTAAGATACAGAATAGCACCCAACTGTCCCCAGGCAAGGGTGACTTCCTTAAACACCTGAGACCACTCAAACAGTTGTGTCAGAAATGCCAAAAAACATTACTCTGGCAAACAGGAGCTTGGAGAGTTTACCTGTACAAAGAGTCCCGGGGATCTCTCATATCCCGTGGGTCCCTCACATCTCGTGAACTTCTCATATCCCGCGGATCCCTGTATCGATCATACAGCGGCTCCCGTGGGTCACGAAGATCTCTAACATCACGGGGGTCCCTCAGGTCCCTTGGATCTCTGATATCCCGTGGGTCTCGCAGGTCCCGTGGGTCCCTGTGGTCTCTGGCATCACGCATGTCTCTACCTCGAATGTCTCGAGTGTCTCTAGCATCTCGCCCATTCCTGCCATCCCTGCCATCTCTGGGGTCTCTCCGTGGGCTCCCCCGAAGAGGGGAGCGGTCGCGCCTGGCATCTCGGCCATCCCCATAGGCATACTGGTCTCTGAGGGAAACACCAGGGAAATTCCATTAGCCTGCTAACAACACGAGTACAGTTACCCTTACATCTCTTACCTGAGGTGCCAAAGTCACCTTTCACAGCAGCTGAATCCTCCCTCTTACCCCACAACAACAAACATTGACCAAAAGTCATATTTTTGAAGCTGTCTGGAGAAGGTTCTTAATTCTAATACTCAGCACAGCCAAACAAGACCCAGAAAACTCCTTAATGGAGCACTAAGTGTAGAGCACCTGTGGATGAAGTGAACAGGCACTTCAGAAACCACCATTTTAAGGCCTCCGACCCCCAACATCAGCCATAGATGATCTATCAATCATGTTTAACAAATTCTTTGAGAGAATTTAAGGTGATGTAGGGTAATACCCACATATTCACAATAGCCAGGAGTGTTCAAGGGATCCATTAAATTTGCTCATCAATGACAGCAGGACACCTAAAGTAACGTTACTGGCACCTGATTAAAAAAGGAGCAGCTGGCAAGGAAAGACATTGCAGGTTCCATGTTGTGGTTGGATTTGTGCTGACAGAAAGCAAAGACAGCTATGGCCTTGTCCTGGATTTGAGGGATAGCTTCTGTAGAGAGGCAGCCTTATGTTTATAATGCCCTGGTTAAGAGGGCACTAAACCCAACCAGCACTGCATCCCCAGTGGCTGCAAAAGACTTCTCTGTTGGACCTGAATGATCCATCTCATTCAGACTTTGCACTGTAGTCTTCAGAGGCAAGGAAGAATAATGTTCCAGTCTTCATCTTTTCCCAAAGCAGTAGGGTTTTTTTCAGGTTGTATTCTGTTTTCCAGAGAAGACTATAACTTCATTGTAGTCAAAACAAAGCATTAAAAAAAAATACTGTGGAGAAACTATGGAGCTTCATGTGTTTGGACTGGCTTTTCCCCAAAATAGTGACAACCATCAGGAAAAAAACCCCATTTTTTAAAATCTTTTTATTTCCCATACTTGACATGACTTTTACAGCCCTCAAACAGCCTAATCTAGTTTATGAAAGATAAACAGAACCTACGTCTGCATCCACTGCAGTGCAGTCACATAAGAGATCAGCTGGAGAGAACTAGTCAGATAAGCCCAAGTTTGGTGTTAGGCAGAGTAACAGGAACGAGATGGAAGAGCAATCTGTGCGTGGATTTTGGTGTCAGACACCCGGCTGTGCTGGGAACACATAAGAGTGCTGGCATTCTCTGTTTGTATGTCAGATACAAACCAGATTTTGGGACAAATTTGAGATGCCACCAAGAGCACACACAGCTGCCTCGTCTGACATAATGAATTTGCAGAGAGCCAGGTGTAAACTTCTTCAGCTTCTTGGACATATAAATCCACTTTTTGTTTGTGATCTGCATAGAAGTCACATCCTGTGAGAGACACATGATAGTGCCCTTCCCGCAAAACCTACAAGGAATGATGGCTGAAGCTCAGGGGAAACTTCTGGCTTGTTCTAATGGATACTGAGTAACTGATCTTTCCATAGGTGTGAGACCATTTAGCAAAACAACCAGATGCAGGGGAATTGTTTGGCATATGACATTTATTCCAGCTGGAGTGGGGGTGACCAGAACGGGCCACGTTCATTATCCGCAGAGACAAATAGATCCGGAATGAGCAACGCACAACTGCGACAGGAGGAGAGAGGTGGCACAGGCACCCTCAGCTCTTGTGCCCGCATGGCTGCCCTGCTCGAGGGAGACAGCAGCACAAAGGCACAGCTTCCACCTTCTGCTTCCACATCTCAGTCACCAAGGTCTGGCTCCTGCAGCATCAGCACCACTGTCTGCATCTGCCTGGGACTTGGCCCTGCTGGCCCAGCACCGCAGCGTGGGACTCTGCAGCAGTGGCAGCAGCAGCTGTTGCTCCCAGGCCACAGTGTGGTCCAGAGCCCATCGATCACAGCCATGCCCAGGACTTGATGACTGTGACCTCCACCACGTGTGCCCAGAGTGCTGCCTGGGACCTGGTGCTAACCACAAGTGATGGCCACGGTGTATGCAGTACCAGCTGAAATCCAGTGCATGTCACAGTGGCACCAAAGCCTTTGGCTACTGTCCAGTCATGTCCAGTGCTCCTTAGGACTGCAGCACAGGTACCTGCTCTTGCACACATGCAGGATGACATAGGTTGCAATGCCCATGGCATCAGTGCCTGTGCTTGTCCCTCTGCAGTGCAGTGTAAGGATCAATGCTCATGGTACAGATGCCTGCCCCTCACCCTGCAGAGCTGCAGCATCAGTGGCACTGAGGCAAAAGATGTGCCATCAGTGCCTGCTGCTCACATATTCCCAGGGTCCTCCCACCAGCACCAAGTACACCCCAGGCCCAAGACTTGCTGCATCTGCCACAGGAATCCCAGCACTTCCTGGGCCTGACGCCCACACGCTGGTCTCTGCAAGCACATTTGACCCTGTGTAGGGTTAAGTGCAGTGCATAAAAATCCTAGATGGTGCCAATAATTGCAGCTACACATTCTCTGCTTTTTTTTTTTTTTCTTTTGGTGGAGATGTCTTGCTAGTTGCACTTTCCCCTCATTTTTGGTAATTTAAGAGTTCAAGCTAGCAAAGCACACTAGATGGGGCACCTCAGTTACCTTCAAGTCCAACAACTTTTTCATGGAAAGCTTTACAGCAGAGGCACACAGGGTGGATACCAAACACTGGAGCATATCTTCGTGTGCTTCCTAGCGATGCTGTGGAAAGGAAACTGAAGTCGTCTTCCTGTGACAGACCAATTCGTATCTTTTCCCCTTGCCTGTGGCTGCCTACACAGAGGAGGTGAAAGAGGTGAATGTGCTGTGCCCAGTGCAGGGGGGGAAGCCAGAAGCTGGAGAGTACAACAGTGACTGCACAGGGGGGGCTGGCTCCAGGCTCTGATAACACAACCACATGTGCAGACAGGACCATGCAAGAAATATTTGCTCTGTCTTGTGTTTTCCTCAAGTGCTCTTTTCCAGTCTCATGATAGCATTGGAAGCTTTCAACATCAGAAGAGGCAAGGTCCCAAGATTCTCTGCACTAGAAATGCTGCAGCCCCTTGGCATTCTCTAGATATGTCTCATCTTCTCTGATCCTTGCAGGCAGGAGCAAACATCAACTGCATTCTTCCTCCCAGGTCTCTTACAGCCTGTGCTGCAAAACTGAATGCTGGGCTGCAGGAATGGCAGCAGACACAAAGTCTCCCTTGTGCCTCCCAAGGCGCCCAAGCCCAAAGGGCTCTCAGAAGTGGAGCAGACACTTTCCTGCTGGACCATCACTGTTTGACTGGGGAGGTGGCAGTAGGGAAGAGACACAGACATTTAGCACAGGCCGCTGGGCTCATGCCCCAAAGGCCTGAATTCCTAGTACAACTCACTGCTTCCAGGTACTTTACCTTCGTGTGGGACTGGACCTTGATGAAGCCTTATTCATATTTCTTCTTTCCACTGCTTTATTAATATCTGTAAAGAATAATCAACCCATCTGTTCAATGCTATGAAACAAAAAAAAGATCATCAGCACAATTCAAATGAAAGCAACTTAAGCTCAACAACATCCAGATGGTGCAAGGAAATCCATTCAGCAGAGAGACATTGTCACTTTGACAATTTTTTATTAAGTTTAGATAGTACATCATAACGAAAATTTCATGGATTTCTTTGACTTCAAAATAGGGTGGACAGCTTGGGTGAAGGTTAACCCTGCGTGTTCAGGCCTACATCCAGACTCTTCCTTCCATAAGAGAACCTCTTTCTTCTGCAGTCTATGAGCGAGCAGAAAGCGACTCATGGACTCTAGGAGAAAAAGCAGAGTCTGAAAACCTCCGAGAAAGGAATGATAGCCAGCACAGTCTTAAGTTCACAGCCAGTCCTGTTCAACGGAGCATGCTGATACCCTTGTTGGAAATAATCCAAGGGTTCTCAAAGGGGCACGAGCAACTGCCTTCCAAGAGACTGCTGCAGCGTTAAGGTGCACGGCCCCCACCACTGAGAAATGGATCCAGGAGCCTGGAACACAGGCTCCTTATGAAGTCAACATGGTGCATTCAAAACACCATTGTAAATGGGATGCAGACTAAGGCAACAGATCGGAAATTGGAAAACTGGTTGGCTTTTGAGCATCTCTGTGAAAAACACCATTAAGGGAAACACAAAGAAGGAAGAGAACTGAAGAAACAGAATCTTGTCCTCAACCCACAAAAGTGAAGTTGCCCAGAACTGGCAGGGACCCACACTGTTCTCAAAGCCTCTCATGACAGCTGACTGAAGATGAAATAATGCACTGGAGGGGGGCAAGAACAAACAGCAACGTGACTTTGGACACTTTACTGAGATCCTTTCAAGGAAAAGAACCCAAATCTAGGCCCTATCTGCTCCTCCAGAATCTATCAACAATTAATATTTCTGATGAGTTATTTGCATTAACCGCTTTCAAAGCTCTTACATGAGAATATAAACTGAATATGCTGTCTTTAGGCAGACTCAGTCTTAATATCTTCTGTAAAATCCCAAACTACTCTTCATTATTTTAAAGTTTAAAATTGTAATTAAAGGATCGGGTCTAATTTTTGTTCTTGATGTCACTCAAGCAGCATGTTGCCTCTCAGAGGGGACAGAGAAGCAAGTGCAATCTGAACATTAACTACAACTGCAGCATAACACCACTCACAGGACCCCAAAGCACCTCCCCAGGATCAAACACAGCTGCAGGGTCTACTGTTACAAACTACATCTGAAGGACATTTATTCTCTAAAAAAAATTTCTCTAAATAAATAAATCTTTTACTACTAAAGATATGAAAACACTACTGTGCATTTGTGGAAATACTTGTATAATGCTACACTGGAGTTAAACTCTCCCAAAACTTTTTACCTGTGTTGTTAATGGTTGTATTTAATACTCACACTGTATAACTGAAGTAACTGTTCTCCTTGCATTCATTTTTTAGTTGGTATTTTTGCCCCTTAAAGTCAAGTGTTATCTTTAAGCAAGACACTAGCTGCTTTCTTTGGTTTAAGATTGTTTTTATTTTCTGTTTTAAGATGCCATTGAAGAAACCTATTATGATTTTTACACTCGATATCATACATTTCTTTAAAATAAAAAAGGTATTTAGAGCTCCACAAAAATATTTCACTAGAAGAAGAAGAAAAAAAAAAACTTTGACAGGCATCCTTTTCTCATGCCAAACAAACACATTTAGTAACATTTTATTTAATGCCAACAGCATTTACAAGTTAAGTATCTGAACACTGACAAAACTTCGGGGAAAAAAAGCCCAAAAAAAAGTCTTCTGTCCTGTAGGATTTTGAGATGACAAGGCCACTGTAATCACACAGTGTAACCTTCTGATCAAACACAGGTGACAGGAGTTTCTGGAATCCGTCTATCTCAAGTGCAGCAGTGGCACTGAACTAGTGCTTATCTTTTAGTAAAACATCCAATTCCAATTTAAAAGTCTTCAGAGCACAGAAACCACCACAGATCCAATAAATTACTCCAGAAGCCAATTACTCTGCTGTTAGAGAAAAGTCTTTATTCACATTTAAGGCACTGTCACACTTATGCCTACTATACTAAAACTCCCTGATCCCCAGATCTGGCTGTAACACAGAGTTCACATCAGTCCTTTCTCTTGAGATTTTTGCTTGCGCTCCTTCTTTAATTTTAAACCTCTGTCAGGTTTTTTCAAGGCTTTTCCAATTCAGCATTATCCTTTTGAACCAGGCGTACCAAAACTGAGCACTCTTCCAGCAGCAAAATCCCACAGGTACCAAAATCTCCCTACTTGCACACCTGTGTTTTGCACAGCCAAGGACGACCAAAGCACTCTGGCTGGTGCAGACTTTCCCTGTCAGCTTCACTTTAAGCTCAGGTCTGTCTGCATCCAGGGCAGGAAGTCCAGGTCCTTTCACCATCAGTGACTCAATCTTCTTTATTTCACCCTTTTTATAAAACATATTTTTCTCTCCAAGTCACTTATAAAAGCCCTGTATGGCAAGGGCTGTTTTTCTAGACCATCACTCAAAGCACTGAGAAATTCCATCATGTGACATCTATTCCATTCTAGATTCACTTGAAATCAATTTAACTCTGTTGTTTTTAACTGTTCTCATTTCTTATCAAGTCAAACACCTTACAGCAATCTGTACACTAACACTACTGCTTCCAGCCCCAGAGCTTGCAGTACCATAAGAGTAACTAAGACAGGATTTATTTTGATGGACATTAATCAGTTGCCTTCTCATCAGTGTCAGGTGAAAGAATACCTTTGTTCCCAGGCTCTGATGCCAGGCTCATTCCACTTACCCTGCCTATTGGCTCACCTGCAGCACTCTACCAGCTCCCTGGAAACTCCCTCGTTTTCCAAGGCTTGTGGAAAAACACCAGTAACAGACCAGGCAGGTCAGTAGTTCACTGAGCCTCACTGACGGTAATTCTTTTGAGAGCTCTAGATTTGGTAGCTGCAGTTTTACCTTTTAGGTTTTGCTACTAAAATGGAAATTACATTAAACACATCTCCTGCCTCTTCAAAAACAGACAGCAGAAACATTAACTGGTCATCTCAGTTAGAAATTTTATCACTGCCATTCAGTTACCCTTAGCTTCTAAAACAGCCAAAGTTGTTCCTGTTTAAGTCTCTACATTTCGATAAGGTTGGACATAATTTCTTCTTGTATCCTTCTACCCTTCTTGTCTATTTGCCTTCATTTCCATCTTCAGGCTCCTATTTGTTACTGCACATACACCTTCCCACAGGTTACTATTTATTCCTCCTGTCATTCTTTTTTAAGTCACACTGTTTTTCTTCAAATTATCATAGGCTTACTTTGAAAGTAATTTTTCCCTTGCATTTAAAAGCTTATTCGTGGATTTCTAACCATTCATGTCCATTTAAGTCTGCTCCCAGCACATTTAGCAGAATTATCTTCATCTTTATGAAAATATCCTTTTTAAAGCATCAAGTATTTATAGCACTACTTAAAGGCTGGCTCCACTTGTACAAAAATCCCAGCTAAGTTTACTTAGCCAACCAGCCACTAAGCACTGTGACCAATTCCTTTGAGCATGTCAAGATGAAGCCCAGTTTTGGATTACAAATGTTATTAAACTCTGTGCTGGACATTTCAATGATCCCTTTCCAGGGCTCACTTGCTGCACAGTTTCTTTGTTCTTAAGGCTAACAGACCTTTCCAAACACTAACACAAAAAAGTTCAGGGTAAGACCCAGGCAGCAAGGTGAACCACACTGCAGGTGAAGCACACAGCAGGAACTCAAGAGGCAAACACATTCTGATTAAATTGATCGAGACTAAGGCCAGACAAGTGTCACATCGTGACCTTTCCAGAGGGCTTTAAAACAACAGCACTCTTTCTCCCGAACGCATGCTGGGGTCAGGAGAGCAAGGAGCAGTTTTCCTTACCTAATCTATACCCTTTATAAAGGCGACCCTTCTCACCGTCCAGAGCGGCCTGGACATCTTCTAGACGGTCATACTGCACGAACCCATAGCCATGGTACATGCTGAGGGCTGCAAGAGTTAACAGCAGGGCAAGACCGGTTACAACCACAGACAGTGCTGACCCACACCCGGCCACCGCTAACCCCACCAGCTGCACTCTACCCAGAAACCACTATGCAAGCTTCCTGGGAAAATCAAATCCACCAGGATCAAAGTGCAGAGTTCAAAGACTCTGATCAAGTTCTTTCTGACAGGGCAGTGACCAAAATACAGACTGTGAAGTGACCAAGATTTGATTAAGAGGCTATGAAAGAGTATTGTGACATCGCACTGTGACCCTAAAAGCTAAAACATAGCTAATATTTTTGCATTACGTTTGAGCTATACTGAAGGAATCTCTTTTCCAGACAAAATACAGGCAGAGAAAATTATCATTAAAAGGTCACTATTTAGGAACAACATTGGTCACTCCTCTCATCATCATCAAATAGCATTTGACAAGCATGAAGCAATATTTCTCCCTGAAATCCCTGCCACAAAAAGGCATAAGATAATATACTAACCCCTGATTTTGCCATATTTTGAAAATATCTCTTCCATTTCTTCACGAGTCATGTGGTCTGTGGGCAAATTGCCGACAAAAAGTCTTCTCTCTAAATCCTGAGGATTGGTGCTGTTAGTGAAGTCGCTCTGTTTGATGCTATTGCTCTTGCGTACTCGAGGCATTTTGCTTTCGTTCCAAATCCAACTCTTCGCAAAAAAAAAAAATGGCCATGCATATAATTTCAATCCATGACATTAAAATTAAACTGGAACAAGATTAAACTTAACAGCTTTGCAGACTAGAAGCCAACTGGGTCTGCTTGACACAAATTTTACTCCAGAGAAATCCTAATATGAGGGACACAGAGGTCAGGCAAAAACATTCACTGCAGCATTCTGGTTGAGCTTTTCTGTAATACTGAAAGGTAGCAAACCTAATTATTTTGCAGATAGGTTTTAATGGTTTGACTCCAAACTAAGATACAAATAAAACTAATTTTCCACTAAAACTCCTTAACTTTAAGCTTTTCGACATGCCCATTGTTGTGACATCTAGTTCTTCAATCCACTGATAAGAAATATTGAAATTTATGCAATATTTTAATAAGCGGAAAGGAAACACTCATTGCAACATTGCATAACAGCACCCAAATATACCAACAGGGCTTGGAATGAAGTATCAGGAAATACTGCTGAAATACTCATAAGTGACCACACCTGGATCACTTTGCTGCATGTGAAATCTCAGCTTTCCAATCCCAGAAAGCACAGGTCTTTATCTGCATCTCAGTTAGACAGCATACCCTTACCCCATGGAGATGTCAGCTCCCACAGCAGGCGGGTCCATAGCTGGGAATTTCACCACCCCCAGGTAAATGCTGCACCCTTCCTCACCTCCCCCATGCAGAAAAAGCACATTCCTTTAGTTCACACAGCTGGAGCAGTCAGCAACATTCACTGCACAAACTCACCGAAACAAATAAAAAAAGAAACACCCCAGAAAAAAAAAAAAAACAACCAAAACCAAACTAACAAAAAACAAACACTGCCAAGGCTACCAAAAAACCACCATCCCCAGGATTCAGACCGTCTGGCTTAAAATTCACCTTTAGATAAAGCTTGGAGAAATTAATAACACTGAAACTTTCAAGGTGAACTTAAAAGTTTGAAAATTATTTAATAAAGTTGTTCTACTTCCTAAACATTCACCTAAAGAAATGCAGGATGAGATTTTCTGTTTGTAACATGCAAGAAGCTTGGAAAAAGAAAGATGATGATATTGAGTGTATCAACAGAAACTTATCTTTTTAATAATGCAATGCCTATAACCAAGATACTCCCTAACAGTCCCCTGGAGTAAATACAATTTATAAGTCATCTCTAAATAAATAAATCAAATACCAAAATAGATAAGACGACTCTATATGAATACTTAACTGGCATGAAAAATACATCTACTGCAGATCTTAGACATAAAATGTATTTATTTATCCTTTAAAGATCAATCAATTTCATATTTGTATCACTCTTGCCCCTTTTTAGGAAACCCTCCAGAGATGGGGGGCAGAGAACGCTTCCTTGTCTAATAATTAACTGCCAGAACCGGGGTGAGGAAAACAAACTCAACACCCAAAACAAAATCCAACAAAATTAATCTCCTCTGTCATATCTGCCCCAGTCCCCCTCCAAGTTTGTCCACACACATACACAGTTTTATCTTCCCCATGAGTAGTAACAAATCCCATTTCTGTTATGCGAAAGCATTGGACTTCTATTCCACTACTGCAGCTCAAGTTCTCATCAGTTGAGGGTAGAGGAGCTTTCAAAATTTCCTCAAAATGAATAAGAGGCAATAAAATATAGAAAGCACCATCTAGCTCAACATCCCACTCAGAGCAGGATGCAGTGCACAGGCACACACAGCAAACAGGTGTCACACACGCCTGTAGCTGCTGGCAGGACAGCTCACTTTCAGTACAAAAAGCTGTAAGAAATTCCCTTTCGTGTTCCTTCGGGATGGGGATAGCAGGGGGTGTCTGAGGAAGAGGCTGCAAGAATTTTCCACGTTAAGAAAACCAGAGAGCCATTTTCCAACTTCAAAACAATCAGTAAATCAGATGAGTTATCCCAGAACTCTCATCTAAGATAATTTACTGCCTCTTACCCTTTTCCACATGGCAGATTACATAGTTAAAGGCCATTTAGTGATCATAAGACCAGAATAAATGAATGTTGTCCCACCTCTGGGCATGCTATGTCAGGTGAACACCTAATTCCCACATTAAGTCCTGTTGTACAAATGTAGCCAGAGAGGCACCGGGACACTTTAAAGGTGCCAATTCCCCGCGCAGTAACTCTGGGTCCTACCATAGGACAGCCCACGGCACCTCATGAGCCAACAAGTGCTCTGGAAATCAATTAAAGCCACATCTCTCTAAAAATCTTATATTTAAAACCAGAGTCGTTTATTAATAGCGCTACAGCCTCAAGGAAGCAAGACTGCTGGAGTGGGACATTGCAACTCATTTGCCACAAGCGAAATTCCACAAGACTCTGCAGCAAGTTCAGGGGCAAAGCAGAAAGAGCGGGCACGGAGGGCAGAGGTGCCGAGGAGCAGCAGCTTCCCCCGGAGCGGAGCCGCGCTCTCCCCAGAGCCAGCAGGGCCCTCCGGGGGCAGCGCCGGCACCGCCCGGCCCGGCCCCCCGCACCTGGGCACACGCGGAGCCGCCCACACGGTAACCCGGAGAGCGCCTCCGCCTTCCCCCCGTCAGAGCGCGCCCCGGCCCGCCCCTGCCCCGGGCCCCGCCGCAGCACCCGGGGCTGCGCGGAGCAACCCCCGGCCGGGAGCTGCCCCGGCGGCCGCCGCTCCCACCCGTGCTCCCCCTACCTCCGCCCGGGGCTGGGCGCTGCCAGCGCCGCTCACCCGCGCACCGGCTACTCCGGGGGTGCGGGGCGGCCCCACCGAATCCCGGTGATCCCGCGCTGCCCGGACGCGAGGCGGAGGCGCGGCCCGCCCGCAGGCCGCGAGGCACGCCCGGCCCGGCCTCAGCCGAGAGCCGGGAGGGACCGGGCCCTCAGCGGGGCTCGCTGCCGTAAGCCTCTCGCTCGGGCGCTCCGCGCAGCGGGACCGCGGGCCCGCAGACTCACCGCCGCTCCCGGCCCGGACCCGGTGCCCCGTCAGGCCGCCGCCGCCGCCAGGACAAAGGCGCCACCCGCCACTACCACACAGCGCCGTCGCAAAGAGGAGGAGGGGGAAGCACGGTTGCTATGGCGACATAGCGCGCTTTACGGCGCGGCGGCGGACCGCCATGCCTGCCGAGGCAAAGGCCACTTGCCCCGGCTCCCGGCATGTCCCGCGGTACGGCGCCGCAAGGCAGGCCGGGAGTTGTAGTGCCGAGGAGGCCAGGCGGCCGCTGGGTGGCGCTTTCGGACCTCGCGCGGGGGAGGCGGCGGGATCGGGATCGCGACCGGGGCCGGGATCGGGATCAGTTTGGGACACGGACCGGGACTGGGAGCGGGATTGGGATCGGGACTGGGACCGGGGCCGGGATCGGACAGGGACTGGGATCAGACTGGGACCGGGACCGGGATCGGGATCGGACCGAGACGGGGGCCGGGATCGGGATCTGACAGGGACTGGGATCAGACTGGGACCGGGACCGGGACTGGGATCGGACAGGGACTGGGATCGGGATCAGTTTGGGACACGGACCGGGACTGGGACCGGGATCGGGATTGGGATCGGGATCGGACAGGGACTGGGATCAGACTGGGACCGGGACCGGGATCGGGATCGGACTGGGACAGGGATTGGGATCGGGACCGGGACCGGGACCGGGACCGGGACCGGGACCGGGACCGGGATCGGGATCAGACTGGGACTGGTATCAGGATCAGACTGTGACAGGGACTGGGATCGGGATCAGACTGAGACAGGGACCGGGATCGGGATCAGACTGAGACAGGGACCGGGATCGGGATCAGACTGCTGTTGAGACAGGAGTAGATGTCGGGGTCAGACAGGGACCGTATGGGGCTTTGGAACGGGACCGGGACTGATGTCAGGATCGGGACCGGGGTGGGGATCAGACCAGGACAGGTTCTGAGACTGGAGCCGCGATCGGGATCAGTCCTGGAGACCAGGACCGCAATCGGGATCAGAGTGGGACTGGGGTAGGGATCAGATTAGGACCGGGGTCGGGATCAGACCGGACCCGGGGCCAGGGCCAGGACCGGAGTGTCCCTGCCCCGTTCAAGGGGCAGCGTTCCCGCGCCGTGCCCCTAGCCCCGGCGCCGCCCCGAGCAGCAGCTGCCCCGGTACTCTGCCCCACTCTGCGGGTAGCAGGATCGGGGGCTCTCGTAGGGGCTCCCACCTGAGCAGCTCCTGCCGAGCGGGAGCACCGGCTCCCGCTGCCGCCCGGGACCGGGAGCAAGGGGCGCTCACAGCCCGTGGCCACGGGAGAACCTGCTCAGGCAGTGCCCGGCGGGGATTTCCCAGGCCAGGCCCGCGGGAGTCGGGCCCAGAAATCCCCTTCTCTCCGCAGCCGCCCCCTTTGCCCTCGAGATTCCCCAGGGACCCTTCGTGCTCCCGAGTGAGTCAGTTCTGGGAAGTGACATTGGGCCGGGGAATCCAGAGCGCTCGGTTCCCAATTCCCGCTGCCCGCGGGGAGCGCGCTGCTCTTCTGCCGGGAGCAGCTGTGACCTGGCGATGGCCGATTGTGGCCACCAGCCTCCGGCTGGGGCCGAGGCCGTGACCGGGCAGGCGGCTGCTGCGGTGTGTCCGCTCGGGCATCGCGGCAGCGCGGCGGCAGGAGTGCCGCAAGTGACCGGGACACCGAGAGGCGCTGAGGAGCCGCCGTTCGCTGCCCAGCCACCGCAATGCCAAGGGAAGCGCAGGGAACGTCTCCGGAGCGGGCAGGGATCCTGGAAATTCCTTGGCGGTTGCCGGGAACCCGTTTGGGGAACTGAGACGAAGGTACATCAACGTCACAGCGCTGTTGCCCCTTCCCTTTCAGGACTGACGTGTTTGCGGGGACACTCCGCACAGCTCAGGACTCTTGGCGGCTATGGGGGCTCTCCAGGGCTGCAGCCAGAGGGGCTCTCCCTGACCACAGCCGTGGGGGCTCTCCAGGGCGATAGTTCAGGGGCTCTTAAAGGCTAAATAAATAAATAAAAAATAAAAAAAAAGCCCAAAAAACAAGCAAACAAAAACCAAAAACTCTCTGAGCTACTGTTGGAAAGAAGAAGTGAAACCTGGAGCTCCTGGGGGGTGGGGGACGGGGTGGGGGGCTGCACAGGCGCTCCCCTCCCCTCCCATCTCCTTCCCGCTGCCCCTGCTCCTGCTCCCGTCTGCAGCCGTGACTCCGGGCCGGGGGTTCCCGGCGGTGGCAGCGCGGGGCTCGCAGGGGCCGGCCGGGAGCTGTCCCCAGCCGGGGCTGGCGGGGAAGCCCCGGGCAGAGCGGCCCAACGCCCCTTCCTGGGCGGGAACGGACCGAGGCGTTCTTAGGAGGGCGGCGGCGGCGGCCGGGGCGCAGCGCCATGAACCAGCTGGGGCTTTTGGGACTGCTCTGCGCGGCGCTGCTGGGCGTGAGTGGGGCCGGGATCGGGGCATGGAGCGGGACAGAGGCGGAGGGGATCCCTCCATCTCTGTGTCTCGCTGGGCTTTCCGGGAAGGGGCACGGTCCGGCCGCTCCGGCCCGTCCCCGGGGCGCAGCCGCCCCCTCCGGGGAGCCCCGGGTCTGTGCGCGGGCGGTGTCAGCGGGACCCGGCGGTGCTGCCGCCTCGGCTCTGTCGGTCCGCTCTCCCGGGACCAGGCAGGGCGGAGGAGTTGTCTGGGCTGCCTGGTACCCTCTCCAGGTCTTCTACCCTCGCGCTTTCGCTTTTCTCCGATGGCGCGGGCCCGGCAGCCCAGCCCCGCCCTGCGCTAGCCCGGGGGTCCGCCCGGGCAGCGACGGGCAGCGGCGACCCCCAGGACCCTCGGCCGGGACCCCCAGTCGGGCAGGGCGCTTCTTTCACTTCTCGGTTGCATGTGGGCGGCTGGGACGGCGCCGCGGCCTCGTCGCTGTCCCCGGGCCGGGGCTGCTCGAGGTGCCCACGGGGATGGGCGCGCCCGGCCGTGCTGGGCGCTCGCATGGCACCCTCGGCCCGGCTCTCTCTCGCTCGCTCTCTGCCGGAGCCCCGTCCCGCGCCCCAGCATGGCCAGGCCAGTCTGCCGGGATCTGCCGCACTGCTGGGGATGCGCAGCGAGGGGCTGGCTCTATGAGAGGAACGGGTGCCCTCTTGCACCCTGTCTTGCTCGAGAGCTCATTCCCTGCCTCCTTTTTACCCTTCCCTGTGCAGGTAGTCCCCTGCCAAGAGGAGCAAGGGCAGGCTCTGGCAAAGTTTGCGTGGGTGATGTGTTTGACTGGGGTTTTCCTGTCCCTCAGGGATGGTGTGTCAGCCTTGGGAAGGGGCTGGCAGTGCTCTGGGTGTGAAAGCTTGGTGATCGCGGCTCCCTCTGTGAGGGACTGCAGTACTGTTGGCAGGGGCACAGGGTGATGTGCAACACCTTATGGTAGGAAATCTGGGGAAATGTGGAGCAACTCTGCCGGAATCACTGCCACCCCACTTCAAAGACATGACTGATGGCATCAGGCAGCGTGGGTGGCTGCTGTGGTCTGTGGTTAGTGGAGGTGTGGGAAGAACAGTGTGAGGAAGCCCTCACCTCAGGGTGCAGGTTAGCACACATGTCTGTGGAAGCGCAGTGATGCGGGAGCGTTGGATATGAATTCACAGGTCTTGTTTCTTCCAGTGTTGGGAACCTGGTGGTGCCTTAACATGCTTCGATAAGCAGTATATATACAAGGACAGATGCTGCAACCGGTGTCGGCCAGGTATGGAAACCCTTTCCTAGGGACCTCACAATTGGGCTGTGCCAGGACCTACTGCCTGGGCACAGCAGAGAAAGCTTCACTTGGGGTGATGGACCCCCTCCACCTCACTGCCAGCAATGCTGACAGCTTCACCTCCCTGTGTCATCTCAGTGACAGAGCAACTGGGACCTTGTGGGTGCTCTAAGAGACCCCTTGGACCTCACCAAATGTGCCACAGCTCTTTTGGGCCTGTTTGTGCACTTGCAGCTACAGGACCCCACAGCAAAGGCAGCTTTGTGGGGAGAGTGCTGGCACTGGCACTAGCAACAGCTCCTGCTGTCGCTGTCAGGTCATCTCCCAGTCCCTGGATGCTAGCGTGGTGCCACAGCCCACCCTCTGTACCTGGCCCCTGCAGTGTTTGTGGTCATCAGGTTGACTCCTTCAGCCCTGCCTTCCATGCAGAATAGTGCAGCAGTCCTAGCATCCACAGCTGCCAGCCTTCCCCTGTCCTGCTGGCACAGGGAAAGCCCCCTTGCCCCTTCCTCACCAGCCTCTATTGCAGGGGAAAAACTGGTCTCTGAGTGCAATAAAACAGAAGACTCCATTTGTGCCCCCTGTGAGAGCGAGCACTATCAGCCAAGCTGGACCAAGGAGAAGCACTGTGCTCCTCATGATATCTGTGAACGCAGTAAGTGCTCCCTGTGACCACTGACCCCAGCCTGTGGGGACTGGGGGGACTGGCTCCCCCGCTTGGTGTCTCACCTCGTCCGTGTTCCCTCTGCCCAGATGCCGGCCTCATTGTGAAGATGCATGGAAATGCAACACACAACACGGTGTGCCAGTGCCGGGCTGGCACGCACTGCTCTGACATCACCTGCCAGACCTGCGTGGAGAACCAGCCTTGCCAGCTTGGCTCTGGCTTTGTGGCAGGTAAATCTGACAAGCTGTTCCCACTCAACGGGACTGATGCCCTGTCAGCGCTGACCTCAGGGAATGGGGGCTCCCCCAGCATGGTGCCCCCTGGCAGGGCTTTGGGAGAGCTGTGCCATTGCCACGGGGTGTGCCACACATTTGGACTCTGCAGCCCCTTGTCCCCTCAGGCCCTCATCCCCCATAGCCCTACTGACATTCCTGCCATCTCTGCTCCTCTTCAGCCAAGGCCATGGACCGGATGTCATCCCCCTGTGAACCCTGTGCAGAAGGCACCTTCTCCAATGTCTCTTCTAAAACTGAGCCGTGCCACCCCTGGACAAGGTATTGTCTGAGTACAGACCGTGTCCTTCCACCAGCCCCAGTGAACACATCCTCTGCTGCCAGTTTTCTTGGTAGCCTTGGGGACTGGGCATCCAGGCTGGTCTGTGAGTGACACAGCATCTGGCTGGTGTAGGGCCAGAGCAAGAGGAACAGGGCTAGGAGAACAGTGCAGACCAGGGCAGCATTGGCTGAGGTTGAGGCAGACATTCAGGCACTTGTGTCTGTCCTTCACTATGTGCACAGACTGCTTGTCCCTTTAGGGATGTCCATGCTGTCATCCATGCTGGAAGTAAGGGATCAGGGTCTATGGGGATGCCCCATGCCCTGTTCAGGTTCTCCCTCCCAGTGCTCTCTGTGGCTGTAGTCATCAGCCAAAGCACAAGCCCTCTCCATGGGGAGTTTGGCTTTGAGGGTGCCATGAACTGGCAGGTCATCCCTGTCTTTAGAAAGCTGCTTGAGGGTTAATTGCAGTTCCTGGTAGAAACATGAGCCTTATTTCTAAGCTGAATTAGTCTTGCTTCAGCTGCCAGCCATTGGATTTCACTTTGCTTTTATCTGTGCCCAGAAATTACTTCCCCACAGAGCCACTTGTAGCCTGTCTTAGCTTTTCTGTCATAGCTGCTCAAGCCCTGGGGCTTCCCTGACCAGGCAGATCTGCTCCTTCCTGTGCCTTGTCCCTAAACTTGTTCCCATCCTCAGCAGTTTCAGCAACTCCAGGCCAAGTCCCAGGGTTGGTACCCTGCTGTGTGCCTGCAAACCCCCTCATGCTGCGTTGGTGGGGGTCCCCCTGCTCACCCTACTGGAGCTTGGCAGGCTTGGAGCAGGATGCGTTTTGGTGCAGCTCAGGTGCCTGCCCAGCCCCAACTATTCCCTGAGCTCAGGTTACCGCTATGGTTATGTGGTTCTTGTTCTTCCCTGCAGTTGTGAGGAAAAGGGGCTGTTGGTGAAGGTGAAAGGGACAAACTCCTCAGATGTGATCTGCGGTAAGTGCCTGGTGCTCAGGGCTGACCCAGGGCTCCAGCTCCTGCAGCGCTCAGAAGAGCTGGCCTCATGCATGGTATTTTTGGGAGGGGAAGGTCTGAGTGCGTGGTCAGTGTGATGCCTTCCCGCCTCTCTGTCTCCATGAGGGATCCCTGTGGGGCTGGGGCATGACTGTGTGTCATGCATGGTCCCGCGGGTGCCTCGCTGACCCTGTGTCCTCCTGCAGAGTCCAGCAGGCGCTCCTCGCTGTCCGTGCTGATCCCCATCACAGCTGCAGTTGTCACATGCCTCGTGGGTGTCTGCATCTACTGCCTGGTGCACACAGGTGAGGAGCTAAAGCATTTGAACTTCTGCCTTGGCTGAGGGAGGGAGAAGCTTAGCCAGAGGGGCCATAGAGGGCTGAGGGGTTGAGCCAGGGAGGACAGTGGCAGCTCTGCTGAGAGTGAGGAAGCTCCTCTGGGGACATCACCAGGACAGGGTTTGCTGAGTCCCGCTCTGTCTTTGGGAGCATGTGTGTTGGCGCTGCTGCAGCCTGAGCTGGGCCAGCTCCTGGGTAACAGCAGTGGTGCCCCATGAGGCCATTCTGGCGCCTGCTGTGACCCCCAGCCTGGCCAGCCTGGCAGTGGCAGCAGGCATAAAGTGAGCTGCAGGACCTGTGGTGCAGCAGCACCAGCCCTGGCTCTGACCCTGGGAAGCTCTCTGCAGGGCAGGAGCACTTCCCCTTGAACATTGCTTTCTTTGTCCCTCTTTCCATCCAGATTTCAGGCGACGAGTGCCAAAGGAGGTGAGTTTACCTAAAGCCCCCTCCAGCAGTGGGTTGGGATCCCTCCTGGGCACAGCTGGGGATGTGCCAGCAGCACAGCAGGGGCTGTGGCTTTGCAATGCAGGAGGGGGGCGGGGGGAGCTGAACTAGACTGCCTGGCTGGGACAGGACAAGGGCTGGGACAACCTGAGTGTGCTGCTGGCAAGTGCTGAGCATTTGGGAGGGCCCCATACTCTGGCCTGCATGGGAGTGTAGCAGGAGCCTGTGGAAAGACATGGGAGCAGAGTGGGGGAATGTAGCTGCCTGCCCCTGACCCCTGCCCCTGTGCAGATAGAGGCTGGGGAGCCCGGAGAGAACCCAGATACCCAGCAGCCCACGGAGCAGGATGAGAATGTCTTGCCTGTGCAGGAGACCCTACTCAGGGGCCAGCCTGTGGCCCAGGAGGATGGCAAGGAGAGCCGCATCTCGGAGCAGGAGATGCTGTGAAGGCGCAGGGCACTGCCTCCTACAGGAGCACGGACTGGACAGCACCATCTCCTCTGTCCCCTCTCCAGCTGGGGAGGAAATCTGGCATCTGGCCTGGCTGCAAATGATGTGATGCTGCAAAGGACCATGGCACGACTACCCCACGGGAATACCACTACGACTCCTGGTCTAGTCACCTGCACAGGGCTGCCCTGGTGGAACAAGGCTTGGCTGCCCACATGGGGACATGGAACAGAGCCCTATCCTGCTTTATGCCCAGGTGATGCAATGACCTGGGTGGCTGCTCGCCTGCTGAGCCCTTGCAGAGCCCAGTGCAGCCCCTGGCCACAGCAGAGTGTCACTGCTGACAGGAAGACCCCAGCACAAAGCCTCGTCTCCCGGAGTGCTGGAGAAGCCAGGGCTGGGAGAGGGAGCTGCTATTGTGAGATCACTTCGGCAGGGCTCAGTCCCCTGCCTGAGGTGCTGCGGAGGCGCTGCCCGTGCCCGGTGGGTGCTGACATCCGGACAGGGCACCCTGGCCCGGCCGGGGCACCTCCGTGCCGTCCAGCGCTGCCGGGCTCCGTGGGACGAAAGGCAGGAGTGTGGCAGGCAGCGGCCGGGAGATGGTGCTGCGGGACCGGCGCGGGGCGGCACCGGCACCGGCACCGCCCGGCCCGGCCCGGCCCGGCCCGGCCCGCTGCGCTCCGGGCGGCGCGGGGGGCTCTGGCCACCGGCTTGCCCAGCGCGGGAGCGGCCGCGCTCCGGCACCCTCCACCCGCTGCTGTGTGATTAAACGTGATTCTCTGCCCCCTGCGTGAGCAGCCCCCAGCCCCTGCCGCCCACCGGCGGCCCCGGGACCGGCGCTCCCGGCTCTGATGTTCCGGGAAGGATGGTTTGGGAATGGGCGGGTGCTCCCAAGGTAGAGGAGAGAGGGAAGAGCTGCCACCAGCTGTGCCGACCCCCACCGTGCCCCCAGTCGCTCCCCAGCACACCTGGCTGGCCCCACTCCCCTGCGTGCGCTTCCCCTGTGGCTGCCCTCACTGACCCCCACAGCAGGAGCTGCCCCAGCACAGCCATGCCCAGCCCGTGTCCCGCGGGCAGTTCCGTGCCCCTCACCTCACTGCTCCGGCAGTAAAATGCACAAGTGGGGTCCGTCACCCTGCAGGGCAGCACTGTGGGGTGCTGTGGTGTAGCAGTGGAGTCACCACGGGCTCCAAAGCGCTGGTGTGGGGCTGCAGTGGCACTGAGCCCACTGCAGGCTTTAGGTGCTGGGAGCAGCCTCAGCCTGTGACCCACCACTATCTGAACACAGGCAGCATGACATGAGAAAAGCCATAAATCCCAGAGCAGGAGCAGCTGGAGCGTGGAGCAACTTTGCCAGTACAGGCGGTGGCACATTATTTAAGGCTCCTCTTAAAACCTAATGTTAGGTTTAATAAGGGAGATAAAAACATGGCAGCAGCTTTCCCTCCTCTCAGGGCTTGGCAATCCCAGCAGTGCTGGTGGGATGGTTTCAGGCTGGGCAGCATTCCCTTGGCACTAGCCCAGAGAACACCCAGTTCTGGGGACAGATGTGATCCCGCTCCTGCTGGAGGAGACGGTGTTATGTGGGCCACAGATGCAAAACCTTTGGCCCAAACGTGAAGCCTGTGGTCCCAGATGGTTTCCAAAGGTCTCTCTCCCCAGGTGGCAGGCTGAACTCTCTGGGGCCACCTCCCCGCTTTCCCCAAGGCTGACCCTTCCCTGCTGGCATGCAGCATGCTCAGTGCCCACTCCCCCGTGTCAGACATGTACCATCTCATTAGTGTGTCTGCCCCCAAAGTGAGAAGGGAGAGTGCATGAGGCCTAATTGAATGTAACTAATTATTCACTCTGCAAATGCTCTGTTTAAATGGGATTGTGAGGGACAGAATTACTCATTCCGAAAAGGGGAGAGAAAAAGAGAAAGACAGAGATAAAACAAATAGAGGCGGATGCTGGAGCTGCAGCTCGCTCTCTCTCCCTAGAATACCAATTACCGGATGAAGTGATTGTATAAATCTTTACCGAGTGAACGGACTGTACTAGTCACTTACTCCTGTCCTCTTATTATGAGGAAGCAATGAAAAATCATCCCACTCTCCAGTCCAGTTAAGGGTTCCCAGTTGCTGTCTTGGGCAATATCTCACCAGCTGGAGAGCTCGTCTTGGGGCTTTCTCAGGGTGGGGGTCCCACTGAGACAGGGCTGAGCACTTGGTAGGAGCCCACACCCCTCCTGCACCCCCAGCCCTGGGGAGGAGCAGTGGCTGTGCATGCTCTGGGGAGGTGCAGGACCTCTGCCCCAGCAGGATCCAAACCATGCCAAGCCATGCAGCACCCTGGAACATGGGGACACATGGGCTGGCCAAGGGCCCCAGTGTCACACATGTAACACATCACCCCAGGACCCCAGTGCCTGGCTCAGTGGCACTCCAGGTCTTGATCCCTCACCTTCCTTGTTCTTCCTTTCTGTGGGTCCAGCCCTGCCAGGGCCCTGGTCTCCTCCTCTGGCTCCTGCAGTGCTCACTGAAAAGGGAGAACACAGTGCTTCCCACCCGCTTCCCACGCTGCAGTCAATGTTTCTCACTCAGGGTGTCTCTGCTCCACTGGTTGCAGAAATGCATTTATTAGCAGTGACCTCCATCACTCTTGCCTGCCACATCTTTTAATCCCAGATCCCTCCAAACACCCACGTTTCTGTTCTCAGTAGTGGTGTGGGATGGGAGAGGAGGTCCTGGCCATGCAGAGCTGGGGAAGCTGACAGAGTCCTCATGGACCCTGCCATCAGTGGGGAGCACCCACAATCTGGGGTCCTGCTGCATGAGCTGGTGGGGACCCTGCCAGTCCCATATTCCCTGCAGGCAGCCCCAGATCCCCCTCACCAGGAGGCACCCAAAAGGAGCTGCTTTATGGGGACACCTGGTCTCCACATCCTGCAGCCAGAAACAGAGAGACGCCCTCACGGGGGGCCCTGCAGGTGCTGCTCCAGAGAAGCCACAGGAGTTGTGTGATAGGTTCAGCTGGTGGGGAAGACAGGCTGGGCACAAGTCAGTGATGAGAGGGTAAAGCCTCCAGTCTGTCCTGCCTTGTCCTGATTGCCAGCAGTGAGTTTCCATGCACTGGCGATGTGCGTGTGTGGGTGTGAGGGAGAGATAACATCATCATCATCATCATAACAAATGCAGTTGTGCAGCTCCATTCTCTGCTTATTGGCTTTCTTCTCTTTATCTATAAATAATTGCGGGGACACAATAGACTTTTAAGTCTGCCAAAGAGTTTGTCTCCCTCCAGCAACCGTATTGCTACAGTGCTGCCACCTTATCTGCTTGTAGAAGGATGAGGGTGGGAAAAATATTTACTGTCAGGGATATTTGTCATCTGCAAATTACCTCCGCCTACAGTTCGCAGCGGGGATGGGACTGACAGCACCGATCTGTACTGTGGGAGTGTGAGCACAGGGGGTCTCCACGCTGCCCCAGACCCACCTGAGCCTCGTCCCATTAGCTGTGGGGTGGGCAGCAGCAAGCTGGCAAACCCACCATGTGTGCAAAGCCATGCCACAGGGAAGAGGGATACAGCTGATGATGCTGAACCAAAGCCTAGCAAGTGCCTTGACACAAAGGATCACCTTGATGCGACTGAGACATTAGACTCAGAGGTTTGCCAAGTTGCCAGCCCCTCTCCAAGCACAGGCCTGCACCCCCAGGCTCTGCAGCAGCCCCAGGCACTGACCACTGTGAGAGCCCCAGGCCTTGCTGTTCTCCTGCAAAGGCCAAAAGTACTGGACACTCCACCACTCTCTCAGCACCCAATGTCCCTGCTGGCCCCGCTCTGCCTGCTGCTGCCAACCCCACCAGGCTCACTCACTGCTGGAATTCCTCACATCCTGCAGCCCAGAGGCCTTTGCACAGCACTTATCACTGCAGTATCCAAGAACCGATCTAATTGATGTGACACCAATTATTCCTGTATCACTAAATGCAGAATTAATGCATCGTGTGTACAAACCTCCTTAGACCCTGGCCATGAAATTATGACTTTGCTATGAAAAGAGCCAGAGCCAGGGAGCACCATCTCTCAGCTGAGCCCCCATCATTGCAGCTCTGGCCAGCCCTGCTGGGACACCTTTCCTAATGGCCACACGGACCACGCAGGATCCCTGAATCATCCACCTGGCTGCACGGAGAGCTGGGGCTTGTGGCTCTTGGCAGACTGGGCTGCAGCCATGGTGGTCCCACACAGCCATGCCAACCCAGGCAGCACCAACCCAAAAGTGAGTGCTGGCAGAGCTGCCCTGGCTATTGTGACAGCCAGCCCAGGGAGCTGCATGCTCTGCAGGGCAGTGCAAAGCCATTTCTGGGCTGCTCAGCACAGCTTATGCAGACTGCAAAGCTCTTGGCTTGCACATGGACTGGTGCTGGGAAAAGCCATTCATTGCATTTGAAATTTTACTGTGAAATTAGGCTTTGCCTGGACACGCAGGGCTTGGCACAAGCAGAAGTTTGTATTTTGTAAATTGCTTTCTACAATCAATTAAAGAAAAGAGATGACTGTAGCCAGAGGTGGCACACGAGATGGCTCCAGGTTGGGGCTGATTCCAGATCCCTGCCATACAGCCCCAGGAGCAGACCCAGCCCAAAAGGAGCAGCCTCAGAATGGGGAGATAATGTGGCTGGGCAGAGCCTCACCTGGTGGAGGAGGAGGTGGGCAGCTGTGAGGGGGGAGGATGGCCCCATCAGGGGCTGCTCTGCTGCCCTGTGCCCACGCTAACCACTGGGGTCACATGGGAGCACATGGGAGCTGCTCCAGGCCTTTGCACTGTGCCAGTCAGTGGCAGCTCAAGCTGAAGCTATCCGGGAGATGTGCACACCATGGTGCCAGCACTGCTCCAGGGCAGCAAAGCAGAGAGGTCCCAAGTGAGCTGGGGGTGCAGCAAGGCACAGCGTGGCAAAGCTCTGGTACCTTTCCTGTCACATTTGGGCAGAGCATGGTGAGCACAGCATGTGTTGGGCTGCTCAGATGGCGAAGGGCTTGCCCTGGTTCTGGTTTGCTCAATGTTTTCATTAAGGACCTGGATGATGGAATAGAGAAAGTGCTTATTAAATTTGCAGATGACACGAAGCAGGGAGGGACTACAAGTATCTTGGAGGACAGGATTAGAATTCAAAATGATCTTGACAAATTGGAGAAATGGACTGGAAAAAATAGGATGAAATTCAACAGGGACAAGTGCAAGGCAGTATGCTGAGCAGGGGAAGAATCAGCTGTGCAAACACAAGCAGGGCTGGCGGCGTGGGGCACAGCCAGGCATGAGGCCACACAGGCATGGGGCAGGCACAGGGCATGGGCAGGCAGGAGGCTCAGGCTGTCTGCTCAGTCTGAGCTGGGGAGGTAGGGCCATGAGGAGGCAGGAGGAGTGGATGGAGAGAATGAGAGAAACTTCTGTTGGCCTCAAGCACAGACTGACCTCTTGGAGCTGTGCCATGGGCTCCTCTGCGGTCCCATGCACTTCTCCCACCTGGCCAGGAGCTACAGTGAGATCTGGCAGCATCCCAGCCCCTGTACACTTCAGGTGTGTGGCTGAGCAGACATTCCCTGCTGGGTTTCTCAATCCCCTGCCTTTGCCAGCTCAGAGCCAGAGCAGACACTGCCCTGCGATGCCCCAGGGCAATGCCCCTATGCCAGCTCCAAAAGCCTTTCCTACAGAGCCCCACTGAGGCAGATCCCCAGGCACTGGCACCAGGGGCTAAACCACCACCAAACGTGCAGGAAGCTTTGCTCTAAAGAAACTTCCCATGCCTGGGGCTCTGCTGGAGGTCTGCCCCCTACCCCACAGCACACACCCCTGCAGAGATCCCCCGGAGCTCTCCTGCCGCCTTCCCTTCGCTCCGGCAATTAGAGCTCCAGCCAGCCCCCTCCGAGCCTGTGCAAACACCGAGGCTCATTTAAATAAATTAAGAAGACATAATAAATCAAAGGGAAATGAGGGGCTGTGCCTGGGGGCAGGGGAGTCACTCGAGTTTAATTACATTGGCAAGTCTCTCGAAGCAAAAGCACAGCAAGTCCCAGATGTGTCAAGCACAGATGTGCAGGAATGTGCAGAGCTTGGTGGCAGAGCTGGTGGCACCACCCTGATGCCTGTGCCTGGCACAGCACCGGCTCCAGTGAGTCAGGAAGTGAGGCATGTGCTGGCAGGGATGGGTCCTGGGCACTCGTCACTCCAGGGCACCTGTGCAGCAGTGCCCATGTGGGCAGATGGCATCCTGGCAGTGCAGCACTGGCAGCACCTAGTGCCACATGGGCCATGCTGGGGCAGCCCGCAAAGCCCTGTCTGCCCCTTCCCCAGCCCTGTGCCCTATTCCCTATGTGCCCTGTGGCCACCCAGAGCCAGCAAGTCAGGCTGAGGCTCTGGGAGTGTCAGTGGCACCACATCCCCCTGCCACACAGGCGATTTGCAGCCCGTCCCGCGTTGTTTAAGGACTCTCGCTCACGGCTGCATCAGGAACTCCAAACAGAGCTTTGTGTAGAGGCAGCAAATTTATGAGACTGCCTCTGAATTCCCAGTCACATCAGGGGCCAATTCGTCTTCCCAGGGCTGAGGATGAAATTAAATTATTGTAAAATAAATCTGTAAAAACGATGAAAAGACCATCACCCATTGACAAGGGCGGGGTGCTGAGAGCCCACACGTGGCCGTGACGGATGGGGCTCACCAGGTGATAAAGCGCCCGGGACCTGGGAGCTCAGGGATTTCTGCTGTAATCTCACTAAAGAGATGTTGTTTACAGGAAAAAGGATATTTTGGGGAGGAAATTGCATTTCAAGTTTAAAGGAAAAAAATGGAACAAGTCTCCCAGGGAGCCACTTACGTGTGAGATGGCTGCAGAGAGAGACAGGAGCGGGTGCCAGGGAGCAGCCGGGGTGGGACACGGTGGGAGGCAGTGCCAGGCACACACATGTGCCAAGGGCCAGCTCCCCAGCAGCCCAGAACCAGGCAGTGATTGCCCAGGCTCACAACAGGAGGCCAGAGGTGCTGGTGGGTCCAGGACAGTCTGAAGGGGCCGGGGGTTCCCGTGGGTGCTGCCAGCCCACCCTGACGGAGAAGCTGCTGCCATGCTGCTCCCCAGCCCTGGTGCCATCCTGTCCCACCAGAGAGGGGCCTCATCCAGCTCAATAATGGCAAACCCTCCATGCTTCATGTGAGGAGCCCTGCAGGGGCCTGAGTGGCCACCATTCAGTGCTTCAGGGCAAGGGACCTGTGCCTTGGACAGGGGCTTGCAGCTTCCAAGTTTCAGTCTTATCCTACAAGATAGATGCGGGAGAGACATTTTATTCCAGCGATGAGTGGGAAAAATAATGACTTCAGCTTACAGTGAACTGGCTGGCCATTTTACAACAGGCCATTAGCATGGCTGAGCGTGGGGAAGGGATTTATTTAGGGGACACAGTTGCAAAGACAAACCAGCACCAGGTGCTTAACAGCAGTTCAGAGGTATCAGAGTGTTGCAGTGCTCAGAAAATGCAGCTGTGGGAGTTTAGAGACTTTATCCTTCATGTCTGTGAAATCCCACAATATCAGCAGAGATTTCTCAATTCTGCCCCAAGTACAAAAGCAGTTCAGGGAAAGTGATGGCTCTGCAAGGGCAGCAGCTCCTACCACAGCCACCCTGGCTGCTCCAGCACTGCCAGGACTGGCTTCCACTGGCACAGACCATACCTGTGTTCTCACACCCACCACAGAGCCACTTCCAAGGCCTGTTAGACTTTGGGATTCCCCTCTGTCCCTGGCAGATGCATCCCAAGTATGACACAGGAGAGGGAGATGTTCTGCCATCCTGGGAAAGCCCAGTCCTCCCATCCTAGGATTGGGTTGGTCTCTGAAATGAGCCTCCCCTGCTCATCTCCAATGCTTGTACCATTGCCCAGAGCAGCTCTGGAGCATCAGCAGGGTCTGCCTGAGCCTTCCCAGTGCCTTGGTGTCCTGGACAGGCACTGTCACCCACCAGAAGCCTTCTTGCTCCTGCAAACACCATGGCTCAACCGTGGCTCCAACCCCTGTCCTGCCATCACCACCAAAGCAGCACAGTGATCACCAACATGTCCCTACCCATGGACAGGTTCTTGACAGCAGGGATGGGTGCTGGGCAAATCCCCTCATGCCTGTGAGTGCTGCCCCAGGAGCACTCAGTGCAAACCCCCCCAGTGCATGCCAGTACATCCCAGTGCATCCCCTGTCCCAGCCAGAGGTCCCGTGGCCGAGAGCCCTTGCACTG